GGACTGGGTGTTGGCCTGCCACTCTTCTTTTTATTATTCGCTATCATCTGTGTCTTGGTTTATCTCAAGATCCGATCAAAAAATAAACATACAAGACAGAATCTTATTAATGAAAGGTAATAATTTTCAATTTTGAATTATTATTTGTTCATGTTGTGCAACGTTAATCGAAGCAAATGTTTAAATGTATTGCCGAATGTGTAATGTGATATGTTTGATGTTATTACTAATATTGCTAGTATAGTTATTGTCTGACTTCTCTAAGGGTTTCATATTTTGACATTTCTAAACTGTAATAGTGCTTTATATTCATGCATTTATAGAGCACTTGGAGTTTGCCATGTTGTTTGAGATATAGGTACATTTTGTATTTATTTTACAATATTTTAGTCAACCAAGTTACTTGTTCGCTGGATCACTGCCAAAGAGAAGTTCCCATTCTGCTGCCAACTACATGCCCTATATACCTGATGGCTACTCTGTCGCTTCCTCCAGTTCAGAATCGGGAAGTAAGCGTAAACCAAAGAAAACTAAGGGCAGAGATGATTTCCTTGACTCGGCCTGGTATGAAAATGGAAATTTTGTTTCGAATGGTAAGCAATTGCTTTGATTTAATGATTATTACAAGAAATCTCTTTATAAGATTGTAGAAATCACTGTGTTAACTATTTGGGTCCTTTACATCTAGTAACAATATGAACAGACGTACACATAACAAATTGCTTCAGAAAGTCATTACCGGTAGATTATATTTGCTCATGGTCAGTATAGGTGGTATATTTCAATAAAAAAGCTTTTTATATTCTAGGAAATGGTGCTGCGGAATCTAACTTCTCTTGGGACTATCTGCACCGTATGTTAAATCCAGACTCGAGGGTATGTAATATATTATAATATGTCTTTATCCCCTGCATGAAAGCCTTTAATGTACCATAGATAAACGAGATAGGCCTTTATTATATTTTCTTTTTTACAAAACAACTATGGATTTAGACTAAACTTGGCAATGCATGATGCCTCCATCTCGTGTACACAGCATAATCACAAAAGCACGAACTGTATAATCAAAACCTCTCCCAACAAAACCTCGTCAAGTTTGAATACCATCAAATTCTAGCCTTATATTTTATGCCACAATGTGACCCCAGGAGTAAAATAGGAAACATTTAGTGTAGTTGTCAACTTTTTATTTTAATTCTTTACAATTTAAAAAGTAGAAAAAAACCTCAAACTCTTGTACCATATGGATTAATGAGATATAGGTCGAAGTTGCACCCTTATTATTTTATATTTTACAGTTTGAAATTCAGAGACCTGTGATTAATGGAACTCCTAATCCTGCTTTCAATTCCGTAAGTTACCATTAGCACAAATAGTCTTTTATGTGGATATTGAATGAAACAATTATTTATTTATCAGCTGCTGTGCAGCATTCATTCTATTTTTTTATTCTTGACATTCCTTTGCTTAACAATGTTTCTGATAGATGACGGCCACAGTACTCCGGACTAGAATGTCTCTGATTTCAGTCCAGTCGTGGGTCAAGAAGAACCTCGAGGTTTTTCAGACTGATTAAAGCTAACACATTGGCAGTTTGAGTTCGGTGAAGATTAGGCGGGATCACCGCTGTCCTGCCAAACAATATGATATCAGTAGCATTGTAATCCGAATGACTAAACAACACTTTATGTGTTGAAAAATCTTGACATTCTTCTTCGTGGACACTGCTCATATTAATACTTTCACCCAGTAATAGTATTCCGTGAAATTGTTGCGTTTTATATTATATACTTATTACAAAATGTCACTAAAACAGTTATATTTTAACAGAACACAGTTTTTATGGGAAACAATCATTGGTTTATTCTAAAAGCACGATAAGAGGATACTTGTCGAAACGTCGTGCTTTTAGAATAAACCAGTGATTGTTTCCCATAAAAACTGTGTTCTGTTAATGTGTTTTCCAGTCGCTAAATGCCACTTAAAGATTAAGTTTATATTTTGCTTACATTTTCAGAATAACAGAAACTCTAGAGCATAGAAACTGGTTATTTTTTAATAATGACACATACTACATGCCAGACATTCGAACAAACATGAGAAAAGTTTATTATATAAAACATATTAACAAGAGGGCTTTTTCTTTATATATAAATTTCTGCAATATTTTGTATTTGTAAATATAATAAACAGGATATAATGTATAACTGAGGGAAATGGTATATTTGTTTTTATATATCTTTATATTTTGTGTATTTTCGCATTATTGTTTTATCAATTGAGTTGGCTGGTCCAACGGTATGGTATATCATGACGTAGAATTGTGTAATCATGTTTATCAGCTTTGTTTAAAATCGAACGCTTTTATTGCTATTCCATTCCACATCAACTACGGTATTTTAAATTAACTGATATATAGAGAATCTCCTACCAGTCTTTTTTGATATCAAAAAATATCAACACAAGTTGATATTTTTTGATATCAAAAAAGACGAGTAGGAGATTTTATTTATCACCCAATCCCTTCTTACATGCACAAATAGATAAATATAATTCTTTGCTGTAGATTTCACTTTTACTGAACATTATGGCGTAGTGATACATCATTTTTTGACAGCAAAGTCCTTTATATTGGCCCAGTGTTTCCATCAAGGTCAATTGAATAACAATAGTTCATTTTTTTTAAAAAAAGTTACTTTTAATGAGAAATGAACTGTTCTTTGAAAATAAAAAAAAATAGTTCCTTTTCAACTGACCAATCAAATTCATGTAAAGCGATATCTCATTAGGAGATATCGCAGTAGATTATGAAATATATCACACAAGCGATATCTACTGTAGAATGTATTATTGGGTGATAAAGTTAAATACGCACTAGATGCTTGTCTACGATATCATACTAGAAGAAGAGGGGAAGAAGAGCCCAGGTGGGTCTTGACATTTGCCCATAATCAAGTCCGACGCATGAGTTAAGAAGTATTGGCACATCTTCAGTTTGAATTTATTTATTATAGGTTTTAATTGTAAATCTGTAATTGTTCATTTATTTTGTGATCCCCTGAAAGCTTTATGTTTGTCATTAGACCAAAACAAACATTTATAACGTAAATTGGATCTTTACAGACAGTACCAAACAAAGACAAGTTATTTTTTTTTATAAATGTCACGCCACTATTTGCTATCATGCTTGCCCATCGTGTTATATTTGCACTCTATTAACTTCCGTCAATTATGTATAGTTATAATGTGACCTGTCATGTGATTTACATGTTTCAATTATTATTATTTTGTTTAAATAAAAAGAACATATTTGTTACCTTTTAGGAGGTTTATTAAATACATGTACTTGATATTAATATTCGTTAATAAATTCATCTAACCACAACTCAAGTGATTTAAGCAATACATCGCAAGCTTGCAATTCTGCGTTCTGTATTCTGCTCGTCATTAACATAACAAAAAACATCAAGTATAACGTTCGAAATTAGGTGCGGTTCCAGGGTTACTATAATGCATCCATGTTAAACCCACATACGTTCATAGTACATCTCCCTTTTACAATTTATTGTCCCATTTCAGGAATTCTATTGCATGTGCTACATTTGGTTTGTGTCTTCCATTGTTGGGCCTTCAAGCTCATTTTTGAGATTTCGTTTCATAAAAACTCTCTCAGGGTTTACGCTTCAATTTTTTATACAATAAATTCCCTTCTTCGGTTAAAATCCCCCAAAAGCTTTGTTGTCGGTTTTTAGCATGGCGTTTATATTAAACAATTAATAAACTCAACCCGGTCTGTCATTTATTTGTAATATGCATTATTTAAAGGTAACTTGATTACTTCATAAACTAATCTATTTACGATAAAGGGTGTTTGTGAAACTTGTTGGGGGAGGGGGGGGGCATATTTTATGAGGATGGTTGTTTTTTTAAAAAAAAAAAAAAATAGGGGTCTGCGTCCAACTATTCTGCATAAAATCGGCCAATGAAGACGGACAGTGAGACGTGCAAGGTATGTATGTTCTCTTTTCTACACAGCATATACAGTTTGTTTTGTTTTGTTTTTTTTTGGGGGGGGGGGGGTACAGTTTTTCTACACTGTATATACAGTTGTTTTTTTTTTACAGTGTACAGTTTTTATTTGTAGTTTATAAGTAAGTAGTCATCCCCTGTCCGTCGGTTAGCTCGACCGTCCTTCATAAATTGGATTGTGAACGCGATAAAGGCAATAGTATTTCGTGGATCTTTTTCTAATTTCGTTTGAAGCAATATATGTGGTCACGCGGGAACGAACCGTCTCGCGAATTTCCCTTCTGGTTCTGTGAAAGCGCGTTGAACGGAGTTATAATTTAACCCATCTTTTTCAAATGTGGAGGGAAGAATTTGGGTAATAAGAAGACGAACTATCGATAATCAGCGTTCCGCGACGTGTCTTTTGTAGATGCTCCCTTTTCCGCAAACCTTGTGAACGATATAGAGACTACGGTTTTCACAGATAGTTTTCGAATTTGATGTAAAGCATATATTGAAGTCATAAGAGGACAAAACATATGGTGTTAAACATTGGGGTAATGGCCGGACGAATCCTTTAAATATTCATCGTTTCATGACCTACAGTTCTGGTGTTACCTCCTTTTCCAAAAACCTTGTGAACACGATAGAATGATAGAATGCTTGAAGGCATTTTGTCAACGTCCAAGATTCCTTTCGGGTAAGCTGTTGTGTGTGCGTACAGTTTATAAAATATAAGGGTTTTTGTTATCGATTTTGGTTTCGTGTAAACTGCACCCATTTGTATAGTGAGTATTATTCAAACCTTTTATTTAAATAGTATATATCCCCCTTTTAACGCGATCATGTTTCTGTATCGGGGTAAATATATCTATTATCCCCATAATATAATTTAGGAATTTTAGTCTTCTGATAAGCATATCTAGAACCTAACTATGTCTTCTGACTATATATCTACTAACATGGGACTTTGAAAATAAAACACAGACAAGTTTTGGACGGTTATATTTTATTAAATGAGGTTATAAAATATGATACCTGGTTTATACTGTAAATATACAATCAGTTGGACTGTAGACTATAGATAAAGAATGGCGTAATCGTTATAGACAGAGAGTGCCAGTAGAAAATATCCAAAACATTTTCTTCACTAATAAAAAATAATTGCAGCTCCCTAATGATTGAATGGCTGGCCCATACTCATTGTTTTGACTTTTCAAATCAAGCTCACAAGATATGGCATTCTTGTCTTAGATAGTACACTGATCTTCTGTGTACTTTATTCAAGCTGAAATTTGATTTGAAATTGGGTGCTGGACAATATGAATACACTATGTAAATAATGCTATCACATTGACATGGTAAATCTAATTTAAAAAATCTAGATTGGGAACCAGCGCCATCAAAATATGTTCTAAAGTCACATGCATATGCAGGTGGGTTTGCAGCCACTAGATAGAAAAGAAAAATGAATATTTCTACCAAACCCCTTATCAGAAATTGGTAATGTGATTTTCTTAGTAATGTGAAGTGAGATGTCTAGAATATAACCAAAGTTCAATTTTTGTTTGTATTTTTCTTTTAGAGCTCAGACTTTCCCTTTAGTGTCTGAGATAACGGTTTTCACAAGATAAAATGTTGGGCGTTCAGTGATGAATCAGGTAGGGTAGATACAATTCACTTGTGTTCCATAATCCTAATCTTGTGCTTCAATAATAAAAACAATACCAACTGTATGTACAGTCCAACAACAAGTGTCAGGAACAAGTGTACATAACATTACATGTAATTACAAAAAAAAAGAATGAATTACTTTTGTATTTGTTACAAAAAATTAAGTATATTATTATATTTGACCCTCATGGAAATATATCGTAAATACCCAGTTAGTGTAATGGTTACATCAAATAACAAACATAAAAACATTTGAACATAGCCAGCATTATTTGGTATCAGTGAGATGAAAAGGAACAGTGTTTAACACCTCGGCAACCATCTTTTAAGACACACAATAAACTGACTTTGTAATAAACAACAAAGAAGTATCAAATCAAGTGGATAATATGATGTTAAAGTTGATATGTTCAGAAAATCATTGCATTTATATCCACCATGTTTTAATAAGGTCAAAGTTCAATTTTGGAGATTACCGTCCATTTTTATAGATATCAGTTAGTGCACCTCTGTACCAAACATGGCAGTTTTAAGTGGAAAACATAATGGTGACGACTTTCTTTTACTCTAATCTTAAACTAAACCTGGATGATACAACAACCTAACTATGGAAGACCAAACAGATCTTTATTCAGTTTTCTTAATTATTTGTTCTTCATTCTTATTTCTTTATTTGTTGTCTTATTTCGACATGTATATACTAATATTAACAATTGTTTCTTAAAATAATTATCATTGTCTGGTATTAGCCAACTTATTGCATGGTTATTTATTGTATGCCTGGCATCTGACAGTCCATAACTTCATAATATTCAGGTTATATGAATTTGGAGAAATGTTTTTTAACAAAGGTTTTGTAAGATTGGTATTTTGATTTTATATTTCCAAAACGGAACTGTTGAGGATATCATCAGCTATTAAACAATATATTGAGAAAATTTTACATTTCTAACACTGATATCATCTATTAAAACATATATTTCACTTTATATTTCAAACTCTGATCTATTCAACTATACAGGGTGGACCACAAACTGTTACTTATTCTTATTGTACACTACTTTTTTAAATGTACATACTTTAATAAAAAAAATTTCAGACAAATGTCACAGAAGCATGAAGTTTTTATTCGATACTAACAGTCTACTATTTTGTCACTACATGTATTTCTGAACACGGTTCAATAATTAATGACATGGTTAATCCATGCACCCCTTCTCAGAATGGGTAACATTTTGTTTTTGGCCAACTCTATAAATTTCACTTTATATTTCAAACTCTGAATTGTTGAGGATGAGGATATCATCTATTACAAAATATATTACATTTTATGTTTAAATCACTAAAATGTAACAAAAGACAACAACTAATCAATAAAGTTATTAAGGATGAATAACAAAATGGAATAACAAATAATAGTTGATGTATGAATATATATTTATATGAGTATATCAAAACCTATATTGAATTTTTATGTAATAAAATAATGTTGGTCCTGCCAACGTAAGCTGAATTCTTTCATCATAGTTCACCTAAACCAATATACTATTACCACAATCCATAAAAGCAATCTCTCAACAAATAATATCATAATTTGTATGAGCTTTCAAATATAAAATATAAAAATAACATAGACCTATTGTATAATATGATTGAAAACCCTCTTGTTAATTTATATAATATCTTGTTAATCTTGTTTTTTTTGGCCATCTCTTTAATCTTGGAATTATCACATCATATTCATTTAGGCAGCCGATTGTCGCTTACTCTAAAAATAGAATAAGAATAGTATTTAACCAAAACGGTAACATATATATATAGAACAATTGTCATGAAATGGTCACCCAGTATTTGTAGATGAATGAGAGAGAGAGAAATGGGGTTTTACGTCCACTCGACACAAACTAGATCATTTTCGGAATAACATATGGTTTTTAATTTTATTTCAATAATTCCCTTGCGCGTAGGGGTCTTTAGCAGTGGGAGCTGGGAGGACTTGGAGAAAACCCACGAGGTTGGACAGGCTACCCTACTCCTTGTCACGTACAACCGAGGATTCAAAACCACGCCAGTTGACTCAATGACAGGCCTTATGATACTGCGCACACATGCTAACCATTCGGCCATCTACCCCCCCTGTAGATGAATGAAAACCTGATCATAATATATAAGATAAGCATAGTAAACTTCGAATACAAGAATGTGTGTGCCTACTAAAATAACAACTGTGTCATGAATTTAAATACAAAATAACAGATTCCATTGCAAAACACTGAATCGAATAGTGTAATAGCGCCAGTTGAGGACGTAGTAATAGTGTCTCGTAAGTAAACAAAGGCTAAGATAAACTATTAGTTTATATTATGAGAGAACATGTGTACATAAAATATGGCTGACCAACACGACGATTAAACAGAAAAAAAAGCCCTCGGAGAGAAGGGAAATAACTCGCAGAAAAGACAGTTCGATTACTCTAATTAATCTAAACTAAAACATATATTGGGGTAGGGCAAGGGTAATCTGATAATTGGTGATTTGTTTTTATTTATGGATGAGGTCGTAAAGAGAACAACTCTACAAAACATATAGATCAAATAAACACAGAAACATAGGGAATAATGTGTCCAAACTGTAAAGTGATAATATATGGTTTATTTTCTTTACGAAATCCTTCAAACTTCTACACTTACCTGTGTAAACGGAGGCTTTGGCGATTCAGCTACTTTTGGTCGTCGAATTTCAAACTATAAAGACACAGTACATGCAAATTGAATATGGTGGAGCTGGTAAAAATGATTAATTATGCTAGAGTAGCGTTTGATATGAGAAGCATCTGATATGAGAAGAGTGAAAAATAGTATTTAATTTATGCAACTATTCGAGAAATGCCTTTCTTGGAGTAAACAGACTGTTAAATAACTTCCATACTACTAGAGACAAGAATTGTGCGTTTCCGCCTACATATCTTTGAATGCTGTCACTGTCTAGGACATGTACAGCCTACGAAAGTACACATGAATTACCAATAGAGCAGGAGCCCAGGGGGTTAACCTAGCTGAAAAGTGTACCAATTTTCTCCTATATGGTATCAATGTATGTATATCTGGTATCATCAGAATGTAAGTCTGCCGGGTTTCTGGTGGTGGGTGTGGTATTCCACGCCCAAAATGCCATGCCCCCCAACTAGTCTAGATTAGCTCAAAAGTGTACCACATGAAAATCGCACAGCAATGTACCGTACATCTTCAGGTATTACAAAAACACTGGCAGACATTTCTAGTGGTGGGGTCCCCCTGACAGAGCTATGTAATTGCCAGACATTTGTAGTGATGAAGTATCCCTGACAAGAGTTATATAATTTCCAGACCAAAGCTAGGCTAGATTAGCTGAAATCTGTACCACCTAAAACAGCTTTGGAGTTGTTCAGTACCACCACAGGAATTATGAATGACCACTGCCAGACAGTTTGTGCGGTGGGTTGCCCCTAACAGACACACCCAAAATAACACGACCCCCAACTAGGATAGATTAGTCGGCACTGTTCCTGTGGTCCAAAAAATTAAAAATTATGCCAGGATGCGTAGAATACTAATGCCTAGCGCATATGGAAGAGGCGATAAACTGCGGTTGTAGGAACAATTTTATTTTTCAAAAACGCATTTTTAGCCCCATAAAATGTTTTTTGCCCAAAAATCAATTTCTTGCAATCACAGTTTATCGACTCTTCCATACGTGCTTGGTATTAGTATCCTGCGCATCCTGGCTAAAAATCTAACTTTTTAGAACACGGGAACAGTGCCTGCGAAGCTAGCCTAGTTGGAGGCGTGGCATTTTACGGCGTGTCTGTTAGGGGTAACCCACCGCACAAACTGTTTTAGGTGGTACAGATTTCAGCTAATCTAGCCTAGCTTTGGTCTAAATATTAGATAACTCTTGTCAGCGATACTCCACCACTACAAATGTCTGGCAATTACATAGCTCTGTCAGGGGTACCCCAACACTAGAAATGTCTGTCAGAGTGTTTTTGTAATACCTGAAGATGTACGGTACACTGCAGTAAGATTTTCGTGTGGTACACTTTTGGGCTAATCTAGCCTAGTTGGGGATCATGGCATTTAGGGCGTGGAATACCACACCCACCACCAGAAACCCGGCAGACTTACATTCTGATGATACCAGATATACATACATTGATACCATATAGGAAAAAATTGGTACACTTTTCAGCTAGGTTGACCCCCTGGGCTCCCGGTCTACAATGGTAGTACGAACAAATGTTTTGGGGACAACAGAATTTTCTTTCAACATATATTTGATTCGTTAAACTGATTTTATTAACTAACTGGTCCTAAATACTTACCCACCCACCCAACATCACCCCTATTAAGTCAAGATATAAATTTTTGAAAATCATTCTTGTCCAAATTTCACAAATTTGTCCACGTGTGTACCAGATCGATTGGATGCAATGCTATTTATAGTAACCATGACTACTAACCTTGTTGTCAGGATGCAACATTCTATACAGGTAGTCCCATGAGAAATTGGAGCCTGGGTGTTCATTTCCAACACCTTTATTGTTACAAAAAAAGAAAAGAAATTGTGTTATCCTGTTTACAAGAAACACATCCTGGATTAGTAATTATTTAAATTTTAACTATGCTTTAGGATAAGCGATGTAGTTTGCTAATCGATTTCAGCCAATAATGGGGGCTTGTTCAACAAATTCAAGCTGAATGAAGCAAAGGTGCGTACTAATTTTATAGTCATTGGTTTGAGGATATCACCAAATAAGGAGGTCTGCAAACTAAATCTTTATCAGACACTTTCCTTTATAAAGATTGCGATTAATGAAGGGACCCGTAAATATATTCATCTGGATTTCCTCCATTTTGCATTTAAATGAAATTGTCCTGTGAATATATGGTTTAGTCCTATCGCAGACGGACTTGTGTTATGTTCTGATTAAACATTTAGGAAATATTCAACCTTTTACAGACAAATTATACAGTAACAGTTATGGTGATTGTTAAATTGATCTACCTCTATCCAGTCCGCCATTGTTATACCATGCTGAATCACGGAAATCATCTCTTTCTTCGCGTTTCTTGTTTACTGGTCGTGTTTCGCTTGAACTGGAAGAGCCTACTGATGAGAACCCATCAGGTACGTAATGCATGTAGTTGGCAGCTGAGTGGGAACTTCTCTTGGGCAATGAAGAAGCGAAAGGGTATCCATTTACACTAAATATAATATAAATAACATAGAACTAAATAAATGAACATATCTAGAGTGATCGATATGGTATATATATATATATATATATATAAAAGTAAAAATGGTTGAGGTGCCCAAGTTTAGATTTGTCGTTGATTCCATAAAGTAGTTAGATTTTAAAACGTTAAAAACATGGCCCCCTAGGGGTTTAGTATGATGTAGGTACAAATTAATACCAAGAGGTTTATTTATATGAGAGTCAAGGTTTGGACTATGCCTTGGAAATCAGAAGTGGGAGGCGACTAGTATATGTGTCTTTCTTTTGTGGACCGGGGTGAGATTGTCCGTTGCATTAACTGGACGGGTAGGACTGTTCACCTTCGGTTATGTATCAATGTTGAATGAGCGACTTCTTATCAACCTGATCGGCTCTGGACTGGTTTGATTCTATGTATCTCTCGTGTAGCTGAGAGAATAAAGATTTTGTAGCCGAGAGAATAAGGGGGAATCACAACCGACCGATTTGATCAACAAAATTAGCCATAACGAGATTGTAAGCAGAAAGTAAGATAATATAAGAGATAAGAGTGGCTATGAAGACCTAGTTAGCCCGAGTGTCGGTGACTCTTCAGACTGATTGGACTCACGTGACGGGCGTTTTTATTTATACTATTCCGAAACCCCGGTGGGGTTTCCATGGTTACTAATAGGTGGGGTCACCGGAGTTCAATACGAACGAAACTAGTCACTGTGACACTCGGGATAACTAGGTCTTCATAACCACTCTTATCTCGGAATCAACCACTATCTTGACGGAAGATATTCTATCAGCTATAATTTTGTTTTACAAAGCTCTACCCCTGAGTGTCCCAACTTTGCATTTATATTTAGCCTTTTAACCCTCTCACGGGTGTTACCTCAACACCCTTGTCTATATACTATCCCTTTATTGTTATGACAAGTAACAATGTTACAAACCAACCAAAGGCATCCTAGTTCGCATAACTATTGACACTAGCACTTCAACCTAAACGATCAGTTGTCAAAGCGAGCTACCGGTAACAAATTGGCAAATCCCGGCAAGAGACCAATCCCGGTAACCCTGGTAAGCGAGCTACCGACCCCGTTAACAAATACGCAAACCCCGCCAAGATGCCAACCCTGGTAATCCCGCCTATTAGTAACCATGGAAACCCCACCGGAGTTTTGGAATAGTATAAATAAAAACGCCTGCCACGTGAGTCCAATCAGTCTGAAGAGTTAATACGAACGAAACTAGTCACTGACACTCGGGATAACCAGGTCTTCATAGCCACTCTTATTTCTAATAAATCCACTATTGGAAAATAGGATTTAGGTGGTTAAATTATTTGTTTTTATTCCAAAAAGTTAAATATCAAATACCTTTCTCCGACCAGATTTTCAATTTCTTGCTTTTTCTTAGATTTTATTTTAATGTAAACCAAGACAAATACAACAGCCAACAGTAAAAAGAAGAGAGGTAATCCTATACCCAAACCAATGATCAGATCAGTACTAATTGAAGAGTCTGCAATAACAAAGGAAAAAAAACCATAAGAACAATTAGCAATTCTTGAATCTGTCGGCTTTTGTTTTCTTTTTTCTTAATACATTATATTAGTACCAAACCTTAAAAACCAATAATCAAGAATTCCAATCCATCCCAGAAAAGTGACAACACGTATCTGCTATATCGTATCTTTAGTTTGATCAAATAATATAAACACACCCTGACTCTTCTAATTAATATTTTAAAAATATGTCGAATAAAGAAAGTTACTCACCCACATGTCTGAAACGAAAAAAAAAAAATAATGGTTCAGAATTATAATGTTAATATTAATACATGTCTGAATTGTTTATGTAGAGTTAAGATGTACAATTAACCAAGATTCTCAATCAAGTATGATATTTTGGTTGGCGAACTTGTAGATACTTTATGTGGCAGATCAAAATACAAAATAATTTTTTATAAAATCTTTACAAACAATTTAGATATATATACACAGTATAGGACCATTAGGGGCAAAATATGTTTACAGTCTGTAATTATTTTCATTGCAGGATGGCAATATTATAATATAAAACAGGCACAAAAACATGCAAAGACCACATCATTTGACACTGTTTAATATCACATTATTGGAAACAATTTTGCAACAACAAGAACAATTGAACTTGGCTAAAACTAACCAACTAAACTTTGTGGAAAATGACTTGAATCAATGTGATGATAGTTTTTAATGTCATTACCTGCAATATGGTACTCCATCCTCATCAGTGTCACAAACACTGTTATCACCACATATACTGTTAAATTGTTCATATAGTTGGCACACCGAAAAGTTAGCCACTGAAAATAATCACAATGACTTGAATTATTTCACACTAATAAAAAATGATGTAAGTTAAGAAAAATAAATACATGGTATACTAAAAGAAAGTTTTACTAAATTGAGGTTAAAGATACATTATATGGTTACCGAATATCTTCATTTTTATTTCCCTTCTTCATAAGCCCAGTTGGCACAGATAAATAGGACGTTAAACCCCATTTCATTTCAATCCATTTGTATTTGAAAATTAGAATTTAGATGATAAAAGATGTAGCAAGGGTCTTACCTGGTTTCCCGTTTACTTTGACAGATTCTACATCGTAGGTTTGATTTCCTATTGTAAGATTGTCGCCTTTAGCTAAACGTGTCACTGCAATGGCTAATTGATCAGAGGATAATTTGCTTGTTATAATCTCATAATCTATTACCAAACTACCAGGCCTATAAAACACAAAAAGAACATGGAACATTCATTAAATTCTCGAAAGTTGAACTCTTACAATCACCAAGGAGCACAACAACCAAGCCAAGACAACCCACCTAATAATTAATTTGAGGAAACCTGCATAATCGAACAGTGTATTGGCCTATTAACTTGGATCATGTCCCAACAATCTGACAATATTTTAACACTCTGTGAATAACCAATAACCACTTTCAATCATGCCAAATTTTGCAGAAAAATCCTCAGGATGGGGAGTTAAATTTGATAAACAAGTCTATCCTTGAAGACCTAGCTAGCTATATAAACCATCCATATGAAACAAACTATAATCCAAAATATACTATTCAAAAAAAGTAGGGGATATTTGATTTTGGGGGCATAATACTAAAATATGCAAATGACTACGAAAAAAGTCAATATAGAACCTAACAGAAGAAACATTTCCAGTTACATGTGACGCCCAAACGCACCAATAGCTACCGCATGGAATGCAGGTGATGCTTGGGATCATCATGGGGGTCCAACCCAAGATTTGCACGACTCTGACTTTGAATGTTACAGTCATTGTGGCATTGAATTCCAGGGTGGAAACATCAGTTTAATTGTTTTAGTGACCAGAAAACAAATTTTGATATGCGTCGGCTTACCCAAAATGAAAGGTTACGTGCCCTTGGCATGCTACAGATCGGCACAACACAGGCGGTTGTGGCGCGGACGATGAATGTTTCTCAGTCTGTCATAAGCAGGCTATGGTCCAGATACCGTGATACACAATCTGTACAGGACAGACCACGCTCAGGTCGACCAAGGGCGACAACTCAAGCCCAGGATCGATTTATCCGTACCTTGGCCTTGAGAAATCGTGTCATCACAGCAAATCAGATCAGCGCTCGTCTTCAAACAGACACTGGTGTGAGAGTGAGTGGCCAGACGATTCGGAATCGACTGCATAGGGGTCACCTTCGCGCCCGACTTCCTCGCGTGATGCCTTGTTTGAGAGATCATCACATTCAGGCAAGACGTCGTTGGTGTAGGGATCGTCAACACTGGGATAATCGACGCTGGAGCAATGTGATGTTTTCAGATGAGTCAAGGTTCACTGTTGATTTTTTGGACAGACGTAGGAGGGTGTGGCGTCGTCGAAACGAGCGCTTCCAAGACGTTAACGTCATCAGACATGATCGATTTGGGGGTGGTTCTGTTATGGTGTGGGGAGGCATCACTGTTGCTGGAAGAACGGCTTTACATGTTGTTGCAGGGCGTGTTACAGGCCAGTACTACCGGGACAACATATTGGCAGTCCATGTTGTGCCGTTCGCACGACGTCATGGCCGCCGTTTCATCTTCCAGGATGACAACGCAAGATGTCACAGGGCCAGGATCGTTACAGGTTACCTCCAACAACAGAACATCACCACATTACCTTGGCCAGCACTGAGTCCCGACCTCTCCCCCATCGAGCATGTCTGGGACATGCTTGGACAGAGGTTACGTCAACGTCAACAACGTCCTGCCAATGTCCAAGAACTTGCTGCTGCGTTGCAACAGGAATGGGACAATCTGGACCAAAATGACCTTAGATGTCTCATTAGGAGTATGCCACGTCGGATCAATGCTTGTTTGGCAAACAGAGGAGGATTTACCCGTTACTGACTTGGTTGTGATGCTGTGGTAACTTTGCTGTTTGACCCCGGGTATCATTTTACCCTTATAATGGTCAGTCTGTGCCTTACTTAGTCTAACGATCATTTGGAATAAATCGATGAATGTGAACTTCATTTCATTTTGTCATTTGTTTCTTCGTCAGTTTCATTAGGTGACTTTAATAACACTTAAAAATCAAATATCCCCTACTTTTTTTGAATAGTATATATAGTATTATGAGAGTGGGACAAGCCTAAAATTATAAATCATACCAGTTACCTCTTGGGCCAAGTCTGCTTAAAATAGAACATGGGTCTTACAATCAACCCATCAGATCAAAATACATGTACTATCAAAAGGTACACACACAGACATCCTGGGACATTTTGTTAAGGCCTCACAAAATTAAATACTGGTATGATTTATCATGAATTGCTTTGAAAGTAAGATTGTGTAAATGAGAATTTATATTTATATACATTTTCTTTTATCTAGTCATGTATATGTATGTAATCTAAATATAATACTTACTTTATATCAAAAATATACACAACAATATTGGTCTTCTTTAACTGATTTCTAAAGTACTCCAATAGCTGCAAAAAATATACAATTTATTATTGTAAAGTGAAAATAAAACAAAAGGTTGATAGACGTGAACACATTACACTAAAACTTAATGATAGATTTGACCATACTGACAGGGTGAAAATCTTGATTAAATCATAAGCTCATTCAATTTAGTCCGAGAATTGCTAATAGTGAAGAACAATAATAATGAGGAATACTTGTAGCGGGGTTATAATTTGCTTGATTTTCAGTTTGTCCATTTCGTTGTTTAGTCTTGTTATTTATTAATATGGGATTTCGGGTTTTGATTTTACATAGTTTAAAAGTAAAAAAAATATTTTATGGGCTGTGATGTATAGTTATGCTGTTGAAGTTTTGGTCTTGGTTTTGAACGAACTCGGATTAGATTCTTATGTTTGGTGGAATTTATTCTTTGTTCCCTTAGTTGAAAATATTGAAGAGTTACTTTTGTTCTAGAAGGTTTTGTTTTACAATTCACATTGAGGTTGTTTATCAGGTGATATAATTTATTGTATTCTTAATCTTATTGGTTTATTTGGGCGGCGCAATTTATTAAAACATATGAAACAGTGAGGAATAATAGTGAGAAATAATAGCGAAGAATAATAAATAGCAAGGAATAATACTAGTGAGAAACAATAATAGCCAGGAATAATACTATTGAGAAATAATAATAGGGATTTTTATAATCTTACTATTTCCTTTATTAGTCATAGATGGATATTGTTATCGATATTGATGGAAAACCAATGCTTTATACAGATGACAAAACTATTCTATTCTTACGTGATGATTAAGCAGCTAAAGATAATCTCTGAACCAAAGGCAGGGGTTGACTACTACATACTTCTAGGTATAAATATGTTCAAAATTAAAGATTTTATTTCCCAATATTTGAGTCTAACAATCATGTAATCCGATTACTAATATTCTTTCTCACAATACAACAGTTGGTGGCAGTTACGGGTAGAATTAAAGAGGTAAATTGAATTCGAACATATAGATATCATTGTGTTAAAATATGTTTGTCATGGAACATATGTGTCCATATGAAAAAATCGTGACCAGTTCAAAATATTTCAATTAATTTCCCATATAACGAATCCACTTTTCTTTTTGATATATTCAGTATGTTTTGTTTATTTATTTGATTTCGGGCTGGGCTGTTTCTCTGTATTTGAAGTTTGTGACATCACAATATTTTCATAAGCAGCATCTACTATTTCAATAAAAGTATTTATCTTTGTTCTGGTAAATTATACATAGACTTAGCAGTATAGACTTACATGTTGTCAACAACATTAATATGTAATAGTTTGATAATTGACCTATGGAAGAATATCAACTAGTGATTACTTTCAGCATGTAGGGGAGACGATGGAACTGGATATAAAAATGATCTCATAATGTTTCAATCTCCAAACAATAATACCATCTACTGCAGCAACTCCATTGTTAGTCCATTAAAGAAATTATGTATGATACACACGACAGTTAAAATACAGGTGTTCAAAAATACAATCTGATTAAAACACAGATCCAATTTTGTTTCGTTTTTATAGTTCAAAATTTCGATTTTACTTGTCTTTACTACACTTGGATCTGGAAGACTAGTTATTTAACTCGTGTTCTGCTTGAAATGAGGGGTCAGCCAATCAAATGGTCTGTCGAATCGAGCGTTTGACCTTTTTTGCGCGGAACTGTGGGTAGACATTAGTGGCAATAGAAATAAAAACAAAGCAAAAGGAGATAAAAAATACATGGCAGTCGCTAATTGGTTAATCGAATGACCGAAGTAATCGGGTCAAATGTCGCTTGCTTGGTACCTGACGTCATAGAACGTGAACTCCAACTATAACTTGTTAGATCTACATGTAGTGTAGGCCATCGAAAGTATAAAAAACGAAACGAAATATAGATCTATATTTTAATTAGATTGTCAAAAATATTACACACTTTTTGCAGATATGGCAATACGATCTGAAAAATTTACCAAAACCATTCACTTATGACGACTGACATCAATATTTTAAAAATACATTAAATAAGATGAACTTACAATTGTAGTAAATGTTTTCACGAGTTCCTTAAACGGAGAGCTGTCTTTATCATTCAAAATAAAACTCTGATTGAAGGCATCTGCTACTTCTAATGTCATATTTGTCCTAACAGCCTCTGAAATAAACAGAAATAAGAAAAATGCTGAAGAGATATTGATTACGCACATTGACCAGTTGACACATGGAACCTAGCTAAACCGGATTCTCATTTCTAATTCTCGTCTTTTATACTCTCATCATGTCCATTATGTCAATCAAAAATAAGTTTACCAAAATGCAACAGGATTTCAACAAGTATGCTGTTTAAATAAAAACAACATATAATATGTTGTTTTTCTACGACTATAAAAAGTAGCCTAATTCTATTATATTATCAGTGTAAAAACAGAACGAGCACAACAACAATAATAGGATTTTAAAAGCCATCAATATTGATTTGATTATCTTACCAGAACATGTTTTATTGTCATTGTTGAATATAAAACCAGTATTACATGAACAACTGTAAGATCCTACTGTATTATTACATACTTGATTACATCCTCCATTATTTGTATCACATTCATTTATATCTGTATTAACAAAGTTAGAATGCCAATTAATCAAAACAACGAAACAAGAAAAGTACTTAATGGCCAAAATTTTCTGCATTCATCAATATGTGGCAAGGAAAAGCATCTAGGGCCCATAGTCGTTCTAGTGAGACAAAAATCTGAGGTACCATGTGCGATAACGATCTCCTGGAAATTGGAAATCGAATAAAATTAGGCCGTAGAACAGCTGCCCGTTTAAATTTCCTGTCATGGGCTATGTTCGTCTGCATTAGCTCGTCTACATATTTATCCGTAAATATTTAGCCATCGGTATGTTATATTCAAAAACATCTGTAAAATAATAAGTCATTGTTATTAGTTGTAGATATAAACAAGCACATCATTACTTTTATTAAATTCATAATTATAAACATCTGTAATATACCGTTACAACCTATCTAATCTGCTATTAGCTCCATTTGAACTTACCTACACAAGAATCAGATTGTTTTGTGAAACCTGTTTCACAATTACACGTATATGTACCAAGACTGTTCTCACAGACCTGGTTTTCTCTAGTACAACTAGTAGGAAGATTACATTCATTTATATCTGCAAGTAAAAATATTTTTAAATAGTATACATATAAGCATTGCCTTTAAATCATCAAGGAATTATCATATTGATAAACAGGTTAATTACCGGTTGGTAAGCAGGTAGTCCTCCAATTAGCTACAAAAATCGACAGGACAATTACACACACCCATGTAGAACACATGTAGCCAAATCAATTAAAGACACATTATAAGAGATTAGATAAAGAGCTGGCAGTTCTCACTATAATAGTTAAAAACTAGATAATATAAAGGGAATTTGCTGAAAATTTCAGTCAAATTGATCCACTCTGAACCGAGAATTCAGCGATTGAATTTTCGACCTAGCTTCGATCATCATTACTAAAGTCGGTACTATAAAAAACATAGTCTCAATTATCCAATTCATGATTTAATCATGAATGAAAGTTGAGCAGCAAATCGGATACTAATCCAGTAAATATCGCAGGCTAGCAGATTGTGGTCTGGATAAGTCAATTAATGTCACCGTCAGGGTATCAGGGCCCTAATAGGTAATCAGGGCATAGCCCGGGCCTGTCTATAGAACGCTACACCAATGGTGAGTATGCCAGTGTCGCGCTCTGGCGCCAGTGATCATGCAAGCAGTTATCAATCGCTCTAGGTAGGCTGACTGGTATGCAATTATCAAAAACGAAACTGAAAGCCAAACTTTTACCTTCGTTTCATTAGCCTCTAAAAATTGTGATATTTTTGCCATTTGCGGACCTTTTTCCGACGAATGACAGCATTATTCGTCACTAATATCTCCCGGAGAAGCTTGCATTTTGGGTATTGTAAAACATAAACGAACAGTTTATGTGATGAAAAAATTTTCTTTTTGATATTTTGACATCTGATGGCCACAGTATTTCTTTTTCCATTTGTTTGCTTGCCAAAAATTTCCTGTCTAAATCGTGTACATCTGATTATTGTTACATCAGTAAAACTAAAACGCAGTACATGTATTAGGTATGCCATATGTTTTAACAAAGTGACCTCTAGTAAACCCGAGACAAATGCCAAAATGAGGTTTGAGACCATGTACCTTTTTAAACATTTTCGAGCCCCGTTCACCGAGTTGCTTGTCCCAGGGAGCGGGGGCCCTATGGAGGGCCTAACCTTGATTGTGTATGATCTTAACTCTAACCCTTAATCAAAATGAAACGAAATGAAATGAAATAGGGTTTAACGTCCCACTGTTCTGCTCCTATACTGGGCTAATGAAGACGGGCATACGCCATACAATGTGATATGAGGGAAATTTTGCCCGGGCAGCGGCACTATGGCTTACTCTTATATCGAATTCCAACTGCCAAGGGATCTTTTACATGCACCCCAATGTGTACTCAGAACCTTGGTTGTTCATCACATCCGAACGACTAGACATCGGTCCTTGTCAGACCCTTCATCCTGCAACACTGACAGAGGAAGGGGGAGGGGTTGAATGGCTGAATGGTTAGCGTGCGCGTGCTGTATCATAAAGTCTGTCATTGAGTCGACTGGCCTGCTTTCGAATCCCCGGTTGTACGTGACAAGGAGTAGGGTCGCTTGTCCGACCTCATGGGTTTTCTCCGGGTCCTCCAGTTTCCTCCCACTGCTAAAGACCCCTATGGGCAGGCGAATTATTGAAATAAAATTAAACCATATGTTAGTCCCGAAATGACCTAGTTTGTGTCGAGTGGACGTTAAACCCCATTTCTCTCTCTCTCTCTGACAAGGGAAAACCACCTCGGAAAATCTTGATGAACTTTCTCGGACAATGCAGGGATCGAAACACAACCTCCAGGCTAGCAAGCCTGCGTCTTCCAAATTACCCAACACGGCTCCATAATCGAAATGACTTTTATTCTGTTGGTTGGTTTTTTTTTAACTTACCGATACAAGTGGTAGTATCATTGGTTAGCTCGTAACCAGTCCTACATTCACATTTAAATGTCCCATTTAGGTTGCGACATTCATGTTGACATCCTCCATTTTGTATAGAACATTCATCCATATCTACAAGATACATATGTAGAAATCCTTAATATGTAGCATAGTATACTGTTGATAAAGTAGAGAGCTGAAGAATTGGAGAATTAAATAGAAAATTTTAGAGAATGAGATGGACATTTATGTTAGTATTGCTATCTATTGCTTGTGGTAAAGTCGTGATGTAACTGCATGAGCGGATTGAGGGGGTGTAGGTAGGGATGGACACAGGTAAAACCGACCATTCTCCCTTCCCCCAAATAAATCCAAGTGCTCTTAATTATCCACATGTGTTAAATAGAAATTTTCTTATCTAATCTACAGGCTATCTAGACTGATTAATTAATTTTAATTTTCTTTCCATATAAATGCAGATTCTGTACAAGTTATAATATGGTACATCAATTATGTTGACATGTACACAGTTCTATTAAAAGGGGGTGGTCTATCTTTTACTAGGTACTTGCATACAAACTAGTAACATCAATCGTAAAGGATAGATACATATACTAACAGTTGATTACTGTTGATTAGGGTGGCGCTTGAACAGAGGTGGACGAGGGCGGGTTTTTTTTTCAAAAGTTGATCCCAGAATGTCATCATTACCTGTCTTTGGTTAGAATATGAAAACAGACTCCAACCCATTCCATACCTGTGTCCCACGAAAAAGAAAACAAATCTTCCATAACATAACTTACCCTGACACGTAGATGATATATTTTTATAGCCATTATCACAGATACATTCATATGAACCAATCGTGTTGTTACAAACTTCATTATCTTTAGTACACATATTACTATTTTTACACTCATCCATATCTAAAATTATATAGTTTAAATTTACTTTTATGATATAGTTTATATCTACTTTTATGATATAGTTTAATTCTGCTCTTGAAATCATATTAATCCTAAAAAGTATCTGTAATACTAGACGAAATACTGAAGGGTTATCGTATGCATATGAATCAAAAAAAGCATGCATTCCATGTCAAATCTTTTTTTTATCTGTTGGTTCACGCAACGGACGAATAATATTTTCACCATCTTTTACTGCATTTAATCAAAAGTCTGAAGTTTTAGGGAAGACCGCAGATCAAAGAAACAGACTGTCAAATAACTGGATAGAAATACGGCTTCCAACAAGGTTTTGACAAATAATAGTTCATGGATTTTCTTGACAAAAATGGATAAATATTATGGGCTACACAACAGAGATGAAAAGTACTTAATGTTGGTACAAACAAACACAAGTTTTCGCTATCAGTACAGCTTCAGGAATATGACACTAATCTGTTTTATCATTTCTATTCAGTGACTTTATACTCCCATCATGTCAACCAAAAATAAGTTTAAGAATCTAATTAAAATATAGATCTATATTTCGTTTCGTTTTTTATACTTTCGATGGCCTACACTACATGTAGATCTAACAAGTTATATAGTGGGAGATCACGTTCTATGACGTCAGGTACCAAGCAAGCAACATTTGACCCGATAACGTCAGTCATTCGATTAACCAATTAGCGACCGCTATGCTTTTTTAAATCTACTTTTGCTTTGTTTTGATTTCTATCGCTGGTAATGTCTACCCACAGTTCCGCGCGAAAAAGGTCAAACGCTCGATTCGACAGACCATTTGATTGGCTGACCCCTCATTTCAAGCAGAACACGAGTTAAATAACTAGTCTTCCAGATCCAAATGTAGTAAAGACGAAATTTTGAACTATAAAAAACGAAACAAAATTGGATCTGTGTTTTAATCAGATTGTAAGTTTATAGAAACACAACAGAATTTCAACAAGAACATACAACATGGTTTTTTTTAAGATGATATAAAGAGATCCAAATGTAGTAAAAACGAAATTTTGAACTATAAAAAACGAAACAAAATTGGATCTGTGTTTTAATCAGATTGTAAGTTTATAGAAACACAACAGAATTTCAACAAGAACATACAACATGGTTTTTTTTAAGATGATATAAACAGAATAATTCTATCATATTTATATATCAGTGTATCAAAGGGGAGATAATCGGAAAATTTTTGTCGACATTATTGGCTTTGTCCACCCATTTGTAATGTATTCTGAAAGTTTCAAGTCGAAATCTTCATAAATAAAAAGTTACGCTCAGAATTGTCACTGTTTTCACTTTTGAGCTTAAAATTAGGCCACACGCAAGCATCGTAGCAACTGATCTATATTTCATTTTTTTATACTTTTCATAGCCTACACTACATGAAGATCTGACAAGTTCTACTGGAAGGTCGTGTCAGCGATCATACGAGCGGCTTTTGACCCTATGACATCCAGGGGGGGCATTTGCCCCCCCATTAATCTGGTCTGCCCTTTGTTTGCCCCCCCCCCCCCAATAATTTTAGAAAATAAAAAAAAGTATTTGTGATACGTTTCGGTAATCAATACCTTCTACGGTGAATAAATCCCACATCCCCACTCAGTCATAAACTTGCATGTTGTAGAGCATTTCCGACAGTCTATTTTTCAAAATTTTCTTGGCAAGGTCCCCAATGGACTCGCTACTTTGGCGCTCACAAGGGGAATTCATTGAGGTTCGCAAGTCTGTTCGTTTGACATTTTGTTCTCTAGTCGGATAAACTAGTGATCAGGTGACGGAGGGTATCTGGTCAGATCTATTTATTTTGACGATCGGTACCTGACAGAATACTGTAAGAGAGCATTTCCGGCAGTCTATTTTTCAAAATTTTCTGGGAGAGGTCTCCCTACTTTGACGCTCTTGAGTGGGCTTCGTCGTGATTCGCAAGTCCATTCGTTTGACACTTTACCTCATCGATCAGTGCCTGAAATACTGCCAGGCTGCATTTCCGTCAACCTGTTTTTCAAAATTTTCTGTGGGAGGCCCCTTACCCCTAGTTAAAGCTCGTGCCTTTGCCCCCTTAACCTTGGACTTTGCCCCAACTTTGCCCCTCCAATCATCAGACATTGATTAATCAATCAGTGTTGACGTTTCTAGTCGTTTACCCAGAGTTCTGTGCATGGCATGCCAAGAATTCGCCATAACAGACCATTTCCTTGGCTAATCCCACACTTCAACCGAAACACCGTTACCAGATTAATCATTGAAGAAACCGGGACATTTATTATTCTGAGCAGACTAAAGCTAAATTGAGCACAAAGCGCCCGCAGGTCATGACAATATGAGCGCCCAAAGGGCACGATACATTGAGTGCCAGAGGCACAAACTTACAATATGGCGGAAATGGTGGAAAAAAACGGAAAATAATTTCAAAATTTTCTGGGGGAGGCCCCTTACCCCTTATCGAGGGCCTAACCTTGATTGTTTATGATCTTAACTCTAACCCTTAATCAAAATGAAACAAAATGAAATGAAATAGGGTTTAACGTTCCACTGTTCTGCTCCTATACTGGGCTAATGAAGACGGGCATACGCCATACAATGTGATATGAGGGAAATTTTGCCCGGGCAGCGGCACTATGGCTTACTCTTATATCGAATTCCAACTGCCAAGGGATCTTTTACATGCACCCCAATGTGTACTCAGAACCTTGGTTGTTCATCACATCCGAACGACTAGACATCGGTCCTTGTCAGACCCTTCATCCTGCAACACTGACAGAGGAAGGGGGAGGGGTTGGATGGCTGAATGGTTAGCGTGCGCGTGCTGTATCATAAAGTCTGTCATTAAGTCGCCTGGCCTGCTTTCGAATCCCCGGTTGTACGTGACAAGGAGTAGGGTCGCCTGTCCGACCTCATGGGTTTTCTCCGGGTCCTCCAGTTTCATCCCACTGCTAAAGACCGCTATGCGCAAACGAATTATTGAAATAAAATTAAACCATATGTTAGTCCCGAAATGACCTAGTTTGTGTCGAGTGGACGTTAAACCCCATTTCTCTCTCTCTCTCTGACAAGGGAAAACCACCTCGGAAAATCCTGACAATGCAGGGATCGAAACACAACCTCCGGGCTAGCGAGCCTGCGTCTTCCAAATTACCCAACACGACTCCATAATCGAAATGACTTTTATTCTGTTGGTTGTTTTTTTTTAACTTACCGATACAAGTGGTAGTATCATTGGTTAGCTCGTAACCAGTCCTACATTCACATTTAAATGTCCCATTTAGGTTGCTACATTCATGTTGACATCCTCCATTTTGTATAGAACATTCATCGATATCTACAAGATACATACGTAGAAATCCTTAATATGTAGCATAGTATACTGTTGATAAAGTAGAGAGCTGAAGAATTGGAGAATTAAATAGAATTACCCAACACGGCTCCATAATCGAAATGACTTTTATTCTGTTGGTTGTTTTTTTTTTAACTTACCGGTACAAGTGGTAGTATCATTGGTTAGCTCGTAACCAGTCCTACATTCACATTTAAATGTCCCATTTAGGTTGCGACATTCATGTTGACATCCTCCATTTTGTATAGAACATTCATCGATATCTACAAGATACATACGTAGAAATCCTTAATATGTAGCATAGTATACTGTTGATAAAGTAGAGAGCTGGAGAATTGGAGAATTAAATAGAAAATTTAAGAGAATGAGATGGACATTTATGTTAGTATTGCTATCTTTTGCTTGTGGTAAAGTCGTGATGTAACTGCATGAGCGGATTGAGGGGGTGTAGGTAGGGATGGACACAGGTAAAACCGACCATTCTCCCTTCCCCCAAATAAATCCAAGTGCTCTTAATTATCCACATGTGTTAAATAGAAATTTTCTTATCTAATCTACAGGCTATCTAGACTGATTAATTAATTTTAATTTTCTTTCCATATAAATGCAGATTCTGTACAAGTTATAATATGGTACATCAATTATGTTGACATGTACACAGTTCTATTAAAAGGGGGTGGTCTATCTCTTACTAGGTACTTGCATACAAACTAGTAACATCAATCGTAAAGGATAGATACATATACTAAAAGTTGATTACTGTTGATTAGGGTGGCGCTTGAACAGAGGTGGACGAGGGCGGGGGGATTTTTCAAAAGTTGATCCCAGAATATGTCATCATTACCTGTCTTTGGTTAGAATATGAAAACCGACTCCAACCCATTCCATACCTGTGTCCCACGAGAAAGAAAACAAATCTTCCATAACATAACTTACCCTGACACGTAGATGATATATTTACATAGCCATTATCACAGATACATTCATATGAACCAATCGTGTTGTTACAAACTTCATTATCTTTAGTACACATATTACTATTTTTACACTCATCAATATCTAAAATTATATAGTTTAAATTTACTTTTATGATATAGTTTATATCTACTTTTATGATATAGTTTAATTCTGCTCTTGAAATCATATTAATCCTAAAAAGTATCTGTAATACTAGACGAAATACTGAAGGGTTATCGTATGCATATGAATCAAAAAAAGCATAAACTCCATGTCAAATCTTTTTTTTATCTGTTGGTTCACGCAACGGACGAATAATATTTTCAACATCTTTTACTGCATTTAATCAAAAGTCTGAAGTTTTAGGGAAGACCGCAGATCAAAGAAACAGACTGTCAAATAACTGGATAGAAATACGGCTTCCAACAAGGTTTTGACATATGCTGTTTTGATAAAACAAATAATAGTTCATGGATTTTCTTGACAAAAATGGATAAATATTATGGGCTACACAACAGAGATGAAAAGTACTTAATGTTGGTACAAACAAACACAAGTTTTCGCTATCAGTACAGCTTCAGGAATATGACACTAATCTGTTTTATCATTTCTATTCAGTGACTTTATACTCCCATCATGTCAACCAAAAATAAGTTTAAGAATCTAATTAAAATATAGATCTATATTTCGTTTCGTTTTTTATACTTTCGATGGCCTATTCTGAAAGTTTCAAGTCGAAATCTTCATAAATAAAAAGTTCGCTCAGAATTGTCACTGTTTTCACTTTTGAGCTTAAAATTAGGCCACACGCAAGCATCGTAGCAACTGATCTATATTTCATTTTTTTATACTTTTCATAGCCTACACTACATGAAGATCTGACAAGTTCTACTGGAAGGTCGTGTCAGCGATCATACGAGCGGCTTTTGACCCTATGACATCCAGGGGGGGCATTTGCCCCCCCATTAATCTGGTCTGCCCTTTGTTTGCCCCCCCCCCTCCCCAATAATTTTAGAAAATAAAAAGAAGTATTTGTGATACGTTTCGGTAATCAATACCTTCTACGGTGAATAAATCCCACATCCCCACTCAGTCATAAACTTGCATGTTGTAGAGCATTTCCGACAGTCTATTTTTCAAAATTTTCTTGGCGAGGTCCCCAATGGACTCGCTACTTTGGCGCTCACAAGGGGAATTCATTGAGGTTCGCAATTCCGTTCGTTTGACATTATGTTCTCTAGTCGGATAAACTAGTGATCAGGTGACGGACGGTATCTGGTCAGATCTATTTATTTCGACGATCGGTACCTGACAGAATACTGTAAGAGAGCATTTCTGGCAGTCTATTTTTCAAAATTTTCTGGGGGAGGACTCCCTACTTTGACGCTCTTGAGTGGGCTTCGTCGTGATTCGCAAGTCCGTTCGTTTGACACTTTACCTCATCGATCAGTGCCTGAAATACTGCAAGGCTGCATTTCCGTCAACCTGTTTTTCAAAATTTTCTGTGGGAGGCCCCTTACCCCTAGTTAAAGCTCGTGCCTTTGCCCCCTTAACCTTGGACTTTGCCCCAACTTTGCCCCTCCAATCATCAGACATTGATTAATCAATCAGTGTTGACGTTTCTAGTCGTTTACCCAGAGTTCTGTGCATGGCATGCCAAGAATTCGCCATAACAGACCATTTCCTTGGCTAATCCCCCACTTCAACCGAAACACCGTTACCAGATTAATCATTGAAGAAACCGGGACATTTATTATTCTGAGCAGACTAAAGCTAAATTGAGCACAAAGCGCCCGCAGGTCATGACAATATGAGCGCCCAAAGGGCACGATACATTGAGTGCCAGAGGCACAAACTTACAATATGGCGGAAATGGTGGAAAAAAACGGAAAATAATTTCAAAATTTTCTGGGGGAGGCCCCTTACCCCTTATCGAGGGCCTAACCTTGATTGTTTATGATCTTAACTCTAACCCTTAATCAAAATGAAACAAAATGAAATGAAATAGGGTTTAACGTTCCACTGTTCTGCTCCTATACTGGGCTAATGAAGACGGGCATACGCCATACAATGTGATATGAGGGAAATTTTGCCCGGGCAGCGGCACTATGGCTTACTCTTATATCGAATTCCAACTGCCAAGGGATCTTTTACATGCACCCCAATGTGTACTCAGAACCTTGGTTGTTCATCACATCCGAACGACTAGACATCGGTCCTTGTCAGACCCTTCATCCTGCAACACTGACAGAGGAAGGGGGAGGGGTTGGATGGCTGAATGGTTAGCGTGCGCGTGCTGTATCATAAAGTCTGTCATTAAGTCGCCTGGCCTGCTTTCGAATCCCCGGTTGTACGTGACAAGGAGTAGGGTCGCCTGTCCGACCTCATGGGTTTTCTCCGGGTCCTCCAGTTTCATCCCACTGCTAAAGACCGCTATGCGCAAACGAATTATTGAAATAAAATTAAACCATATGTTAGTCCCGAAATGACCTAGTTTGTGTCGAGTGGACGTTAAACCCCATTTCTCTCTCTCTCTCTGACAAGGGAAAACCACCTCGGAAAATCCTGACAATGCAGGGATCGAAACACAACCTCCGGGCTAGCGAGCCTGCGTCTTCCAAATTACCCAACACGACTCCATAATCGAAATGACTTTTATTCTGTTGGTTGTTTTTTTTTAACTTACCGATACAAGTGGTAGTATCATTGGTTAGCTCGTAACCAGTCCTACATTCACATTTAAATGTCCCATTTAGGTTGCTACATTCATGTTGACATCCTCCATTTTGTATAGAACATTCATCGATATCTACAAGATACATACGTAGAAATCCTTAATATGTAGCATAGTATACTGTTGATAAAGTAGAGAGCTGAAGAATTGGAGAATTAAATAGAATTACCCAACACGGCTCCATAATCGAAATGACTTTTATTCTGTTGGTTGTTTTTTTTTTAACTTACCGGTACAAGTGGTAGTATCATTGGTTAGCTCGTAACCAGTCCTACATTCACATTTAAATGTCCCATTTAGGTTGCGACATTCATGTTGACATCCTCCATTTTGTATAGAACATTCATCGATATCTACAAGATACATACGTAGAAATCCTTAATATGTAGCATAGTATACTGTTGATAAAGTAGAGAGCTGGAGAATTGGAGAATTAAATAGAAAATTTTAGAGAATGAGATGGACATTTATGTTAGTATTGCTATCTATTGCTTGTGGTAAAGTCGTGATGTAACTGCATGAGCGGATTGAGGGGGTGTAGGTAGGGATGGACACAGGTAAAACCGACCATTCTCCCTTCCCCCAAATAAATCCAAGTGCTCTTAATTATCCACATGTGTTAAATAGAAATTTTCTTATCTAATCTACAGGCTATCTAGACTGATTAATTAATTTTAATTTTCTTTCCATATAAATGCAGATTCTGTACAAGTTATAATATGGTACATCAATTATGTTGACATGTACACAGTTCTATTAAAAGGGGGTGGTCTATCTCTTACTAGGTACTTGCATACAAACTAGTAACATCAATCGTAAAGGATAGATACATATACTAAAAGTTGATTACTGTTGATTAGGGTGGCGCTTGAACAGAGGTGGACGAGGGCGGGGGGATTTTTCAAAAGTTGATCCCAGAATATGTCATCATTACCTGTCTTTGGTTAGAATATGAAAACCGACTCCAACCCATTCCATACCTGTGTCCCACGAGAAAGAAAACAAATCTTCCATAACATAACTTACCCTGACACGTAGATGATATATTTACATAGCCATTATCACAGATACATTCATATGAACCAATCGTGTTGTTACAAACTTCATTATCTTTAGTACACATATTACTATTTTTACACTCATCAATATCTAAAATTATATAGTTTAAATTTACTTTTATGATATAGTTTATATCTACTTTTATGATATAGTTTAATTCTGCTCTTGAAATCATATTAATCCTAAAAAGTATCTGTAATACTAGACGAAATACTGAAGGGTTATCGTATGCATATGAATCAAAAAAAGCATAAACTCCATGTCAAATCTTTTTTTTATCTGTTGGTTCACGCAACGGACGAATAATATTTTCAACATCTTTTACTGCATTTAATCAAAAGTCTGAAGTTTTAGGGAAGACCGCAGATCAAAGAAACAGACTGTCAAATAACTGGATAGAAATACGGCTTCCAACAAGGTTTTGACATATGCTGTTTTGATAAAACAAATAATAGTTCATGGATTTTCTTGACAAAAATGGATAAATATTATGGGCTACACAACAGAGATGAAAAGTACTTAATGTTGGTACAAACAAACACAAGTTTTCGCTATCAGTACAGCTTCAGGAATATGACACTAATCTGTTTTATCATTTCTATTCAGTGACTTTATACTCCCATCATGTCAACCAAAAATAAGTTTAAGAATCTAATTAAAATATAGATCTATATTTCGTTTCGTTTTTTATACTTTCGATGGCCTATTCTGAAAGTTTCAAGTCGAAATCTTCATAAATAAAAAGTTACGCTCAGAATTGTCACTGTTTTCACTTTTGAGCTTAAAATTAGGCCACACGCAAGCATCGTAGCAACTGATCTATATTTCATTTTTTTATACTTTTCATAGCCTACACTACATGAAGATCTGACAAGTTCTACTGGAAGGTCGTGTCAGCGATCATACGATCGGCTTTTGACCCTATGACATCCAGGGGGGGCATTTGCCCCCCCATTAATCTGGTCTGCCCTTTGTTTGCCCCCCCCCCTCCCCAATAATTTTAGAAAATAAAAAGAAGTATTTGTGATACGTTTCGGTAATCAATACCTTCTACGGTGAATAAATCCCACATCCCCACTCAGTCATAAACTGGCATGTTGTAGAGCATTTCCGACAGTCTATTTTTCAAAATTTTCTTGGCAAGGTCCCCAATGGACTCGCTACTTTGGCGCTCACAAGGGGAATTCATTGAGGTTCGCAAGTCCGTTCGTTTGACATTATGTTCTCTAGTCGGATAAACTAGTGATCAGGTGACGGACGGTATCTGGTCAGATCTATTTATTTCGACGATCGGTACCTGACAGAATACTGTAAGAGAGCATTTCCGGCAGTCTATTTTTCAAAATTTTCTGGGGGAGGACTCCCTACTTTGACGCTCTTGAGTGGGCTTCGTCGTGATTCGCAAGTCCGTTCGTTTGACACTTTACCTCATCGATCAGTGCCTGAAATACTGCCAGGCTGCATTTCCGTCAACCTGTTTTTCAAAATTTTCTGTGGGAGGCCCCTTACCCCTAGTTAAAGCTCGTGCCTTTGCCCCCTTAACCTTGGACTTTGCCCCAACTTTGCCCCTCCAATCATCAGACATTGATTAATCAATCAGTGTTGACGTTTCTAGTCGTTTACCCAGAGTTCTGTGCATGGCATGCCAAGAATTCGCCATAACAGACCATTTCCTTGGCTAATCCCCCACTTCAACCGAAACACCGTTACCAGATTAATCATTGAAGAAACCGGGACATTTATTATTCTGAGCAGACTAAAGCTAAATTGAGCACAAAGCGCCCGCAGGTCATGAAAAAATGAGCGCCCAAAGGGCACGATACATTGAGTGCCAGAGGCACAAACTTACTAGGGGTGTGCATTTTGATGCACCCATATCCCAATATGGCGGAAACGGTGGAAAAAAACGGAAAATAATGTCATATATTCTGGTACGGCAAATATGGGCTTGTAATATGTCGTTTTCAGGGTTTTCATGGATGCTTAGTTCATTTTTGATGGTCTCATGTCAATGAAATCTACATTAGATGTTAAATATGAAACCAAAGTCAGCGCACAGAAGATACAAAGATACGGAAAACATCATTATATACGTCATTCATATAGCACCTACTAATATCATAATTTCTAAACATTCATAGGCATATACCTTTCACACAAATCTTTCAAGACGACAGCCTTCAATAAGAGTCTGTGTCAGAAAGTTCTGAATCTAATGCACTGTCTGACTCAGATGTGTCACTAACAGAGGTATCATTATCTTCCTCATCATCACCATCATCAATGTCTACCGATGATCTGAACTTAAGTGGCAAGGCAGGGTTTATATACCGTACAGGAACACACATTCCCTCTTTCAACTCCTATCCATGTCCGAGTGGATCAGCTACGTTACTGACATTGTAACTTAGCATGATATATGCTTGATAGTTTGCTCTTTTTATGTGCTGTTCCAGACTGAATTAGAATATTTAATAACACTCTATACGAAGCATGGATTTTATGAACCTGCAGCATCAAAACTACACTAAGACGGGGGTGAGAAGCATCGCCTTACTGCGATATTATTGAGTTACTCCGTCTTCAATTAGCCCAGGTTAGGTGCAGAAGAGTAGGACGTTAAACCCCATTTCATTTCATTTCATTTATTGAGTTACTGTCAGTTACCACAAGGGTGTACAAATCGCCGAGCGAAAAATTCACTAGTCAGAAGTGAGTCTTTTTCCCTTGTAGAGCATGGGTATGGCGATATAGGAGAGGGAGAGAGAAATGGGGTTTAACGTCCACTTGACAAAAACTAGGTCATTTCAGGATTAACACATGGTTCAAATATATTTCAATAATTCGCTTGCAAGCAGGGGTCTTTATTTTAGCAGTGGGGGTAAACAGGAGGACCCGGAGAAAACCCACAAGGTTGGACAGACCTCCCAACACCTTGTCACGTACAACCGAGGAATCGAAATCACGCCAGTTGACTCAATGACAGACCTTATACAGCGCCCATGTGCTAACCATTCGGCCATCCAACACCCTGGCGATATAGAAACGTATGTCATAAGGGTAACATCTTAGAGCAGGTTCCAGTAAGCGGCGGCTCTATCATGAAATGAGTTTCTCTTTCAAATGGTTAAAGTTAGAGTTATTTAAATTGGCAAACGATACCAAAGAGAAATTCCGGACAGGGTTGTAGTGTCCCACTTGACAATCATCCTTTTCTCACAACAGAGATGACAAGACAAAAACGCAAATGAGTTTCCAAAATCATATTCCCCCATAAAACCATACAGACATAATCCTGGCTACTATATACTGTGTATCAAGATATAGATATCTAATAATTACAAGGGGAATAACTCAAATTAAATTCCTACCAGAACAATTTTTATTGTCATTGTTGAGTGTAAAACCAGCATTGCATGAACATATATAAGATCCTACTGTATTATTACATACTTGCTCACAACCTCCATTATTTATATTACATTCATTAATATCTGTAAATAAAGGTACGACAATTAAATCAAAGAAACACACTAACAAAATGTAACATTACCGGTATCAGGTGGTCGAATATACATGTATATGCGTATCACTTTTATTTTGATAATCAACTCCTTCAATTCTAGGGAATCGTGGTGGCTCAGTGAGTAAGATGGTGGCTCGCTACCCGGAAGGTCTCCTTTTGTCGGTCGAGAAAGTTTGGTGAAGGACGGACGGAGTAGGTCTGGAAAGTACATTTTCTAGTCGTTCGGACAGGACGAAAACGAAAAACCGAGGTCCCGTGTAAACATTAGCATGCACGTAATAGAACCCTTGACAGGGCACAATTTCTTGTCTTCTTTAGCCCATCTTCATTAAACCCATTTCATTCATTCCTTCGGTTTTACTTATTAAACGTTGTAATTATAGCAAACACACATACCTAAATTTGAATCAAAGTCACGAGTTTGCATATTGTATCATTTTTGTTAACGTGATGCTGTGGCTTTAACCTATTCGTTTCCACTTGCTCAAAAAGATGACTTCGTAGATCAACCAAATCAAATTTGTTAGAATTAAAAGTCTATGCTATAGAGTAACTTTAACAGTTCATTACCGGTACAATTAACAGCATCACTATTTAGTGTGTAACCAGTGCTACATTCACATCTAAAGCTTCCATCTAGATTTGTACAATTCTGTTGACATCCACCCTTATTCGTGTCACACTCATTTATATCTACAAAAGTAAACAAGTATAAATAATACAATATTTAAAATAAGCAAACAAAATAGGTTCAGATCAAAATAATATTAATCACACGATTCGGTATTTTATTTACCTGTACATGTTTCGTTTACAGTATAGAAGCTGTCTCTAGGGCAGGTACATGTATAGTTACCAGCTGTATTACTACATGTTTCAAATTGTGGACACGGTAAATCTACACACTCATCTATATCTGTAAAAAAGCAAACAATAAGTTCTCACTTATTTATTTAATAACATGACAATAATTTACATTAATTAATTCTGACGAGATCTCTGCAAAACTTTTCCATTTTTCTTATTCAATTTTTTCTTATTCCATTGAACATTAAACCAGATTTAGTTTCTTTTTAATTTCAAAGACATTGGTGTTATGTTTGAATTTTTTAAAATTCCATTCCTCTGTGAATGAATGCAAAACACATCTGTTTTTTGTTCCTTTCTCTCTTAGATACAGAATATACTTTCTTATAATAAAAGTATTGCCAAACCATTTCATCTAATCTATGGTGCTACTAACAAATCATAATTAATTCAATAAAATAATACAACCATGACATACATACCTTCACAATTACCATTAGCGTCCTTTGTATAGCCGTCTTGACAATCACACCTATATCCGCCATCAAAGTTAACACATTTGAAATTTTGTGAACCACAGATAGTTTGGTTGTTACATTCATTAACATCAGTTTGACACCTACTACCATTCCATTGATTATTACAGTTACAGGTACCGTCAGTCTTATTACATGATAATACATGACCAGCTACACATTGACATGTTTCTTGACAGTTATCTCCCCAGTGTGTATCATCACATTCTACAATATACAATTAGTATAAAATAATCTCACCATTTACTTGAAACGTTTTCACTGGTCCACAAGACAGATGTATGCCATTCTATCGGATAACAAGCCAATCATAAAGCCTATTGAATATAATTGGTTGGATATACATATTGCATATATTTAAGGGTGTATGGAGCTATTCTGTGGAACCTTAAAATCGATGAAACTGGATCTAAAAGAACATACATGAATTAATGCAATATACATGAATATAAAGTGATTTATGTTCAATTTTTAAAACATTTAAATATGTAAACAGTCCAAATTGAACCACCCATGTACTAATTATTAAATGTCCATTGTGTCTTAAATACTGGATATTAGGATCCTAGTTTCATGGCAATATAATAATATCAATATTGACTGAAATGGACCAATATTGAGTTCTAATTTGTGTTTTTAATTTCTAATGTTATGGAAATATTGAGTTAGAAATTTAGCACCCATATGCGTAGCCAAATTCTTCTTGTCAATGTTTTATTATTAACTGACGAATTATTCAAATAGTAAACTACCTCAGGTGAAAATGGCGACGTACAGTAAATATAAGAAAGTCGTCCTAGTTATTTAATGTGTGTACAAGCAATGCCTTTTGTTTCATATGCCAATACGAATTTCCTCAAATTCAGAGGACAAAAAGCATGAACCTGGCCCACAGCTAAAGGTGGATCGCTCCAGATCTGGACTCGGGCATAGACCCCTTGTGTTATGAAAAGCATGTTAGGGAAATCAGCCACTGTATTTAAGACATCTTTAAAACCACTGTGTTCACTGTCTGTATTTCACAATGTGACCTCGACAACTTGTTACAGCAACAGCAAACAGACGGCAAGTTATTGACACGGGGAATGCCAGGATATCAATGAGACATGTTACACGACAGTAAGGTCACCATTCATGGACCATCAGTTGATTGGAACAAAAATATCACCAAACTAATGACATAAAGTACCGTCAACGTTCTGACAGAACTGCAAGAAAGGATGCAGCAATGTTCATAATCGGCTCAATTTGTCAGTTACCACAAGGCTGTACAAATCGCCAAGCCAAACATTCACTGGTCCAAAGCGAGTATTTTTCCCTTGTCCGTGATGGATAGTAGAGCACGGGTATGGCAATATAGGAGAGGGGTTTAACATTCAACGACACAAACTAGGTGATTTGGGGACTAACACATGGTTCAATTTTATTTTAATAATTCGCTTGTGCGTACGGAATGGGAGGAAACCGGAGGACCCAGAGAAAACCTACAACCAGGGAATCAAAACTTTATAAGACTTTATATAGCGCGCATGTGCTAACCATTCAGCCATCCAACCACCTGGCGATGTAGGAAGGTATTTCATCTGCAAAGAGTAACATCTTACTGCAAGTTCCAGTAGCCGGCGACTCTATCATGAAATGGGTTTCTCTTTCAAATGGTTAAAGTTAAAGTTAATTAAATTGGCAAACGATACCAAAGAGAAATTCCGGACAGGGTTGTAGTGTCCCACTTGACAATCATCCTTTTCTCACAACACCGTTCTTGATTTTCTGCGCCGCGCCAGAAGATCGTTGCTACACTATATTAGCCAGTCAGAAGCTCTGACCTGAATCCAATTCTTGGTCAGAAAATCCCCCAGAGGGTTCACCAGTGAATCAAACACTACCCCAGAAATGGAACATTAGAGAGCAGGTTCAGATCCAATGGCTAATTCAGAGAGTTAGGAGGAGAGTTCATCGGGTGATCCATACTGAACATGGAATGAAATGAGCTGAAGTGTAGGATTTCAGAACGTAAAAAGTTAACATATCGTATCAAATGCCAGGGGCTTGCTTGATTTAAAGTGCACATAAGATCGGCTTGGGAACTTTTGGATATGTGTAGCCAATGGTTACTATATCAACTTTACGGCAAGTTCACACCAATCTGATTGAAATTAATTCAGTTATCTTTACTCAAAGTCGTAAAAATGGACCTCCCGTAAAAACGACTTTGCCAATTATCGAAAACACTCTTAATCCCCATAGACGCCAGTGACGTCACAGTGACCGAATGTCTATTCGGAATGTTTATTCCTTAATTACCTATATACAGCCGGCGTGTGTACTCATTAACGCCTGACTCATTCCTTAATCCCCCTAATTAAATAAAACAATTGACTACGGAATAATTTGTTTTGTAATTCATTTTAATTTAAGATCCATTTCGAATTTGTTTCATAATGTACGGTTGCTCTCGTTTCTCACGACAGTAATTTTAATACTCTCATACATCGTGTGCAGTCCAGTCGATTCGAGATACATTTTCGTCAAAAGAGTATTGTGGTTCTAATTTCCCCGAGTAAAAGAGTACAGGAGTAAACAGATGTGGTCATGCAAAATATATCATAAAAGTCAAACATGATTGAAAAGCGATTTGTAAATGACGATCCGTTATCATCGTACGGCGGATTTGACTTCATTACTCTGAAATAGACCGTAAAAATGAAATACTAAAAAAAATCTCAATATACTTTAGAATAAACAGTAAAAATAAATTTTGTTGGTAACCATCTAAATGAAATAACAGACAGATTGAGAAGGGTCATCTAACTATCTTTGTGTATTGATAATAATATGACAAGTAGTGTCGTTAATATCTGTCATTAATTAATCAATCCGACTAAAGTTATACAGACTTGGGGGTCATAAATTAATTTACATCTCGGTGTTAGCAGTGATTGTTCGTGGGATTAAGAATGCTGATTAGGTAATTATTTTTTTTACGCCGGCCAGATCAAAGACATCAATCTAGGTGGAACGTGTGCGTAGTACCCACGAACGATCTAATGGTAGAATCGTACACACACATATTAATTGTATAAATTAATTAGGTTTTACTCATCCGTTGTTTATAATTATTATTTACCCAATACTTATTGCTCGCCGGTGTTTTTGTAATCAAGTAGCCTCGTATTATTTGTTGACTGGCGTTTAAACAACTTTTAATTGACTTGATATGAAATCTTCTTTATAATAAAAGTATTTTACAATTGCATTGACAGTTTAATAACTCACCAAACGGCACCAGGAACTCCGCGTATGATCAAGTGCAATTTAACCTCAGTTACTACGCCCGTAGTGCATGGAACCGTACATGGCAATAAGATTCCCAGCGTTGATTTGCTGAGAAATGAGGGCAATCTATGCATGGTCATCGGAAAATTCCATATTCGCAGTGAATTTCAAATGGAGTTACGATAAAAGTTGTTCTTTGTGTATAGAAATGGTTATTATTATTATATATAGCTAATAATGAATATATCGACAATTGACTGGAACCATTTGTATTTCTGTACTTATAGAGAATAGTTTGGGATATCAAGTATTACGGGGTTATCCAAATTACAGGTAAATGCGCGAATTGCTTAGGTCTTCTTCAGTTGTCACGGGGCCTATTTAAACAATGGCACCTTAAATGGATCTATGGCATTTTAAATTCACCTTAAAATATTCCAATCACAAATGTCTAATCTATAACAATGCAAGACGATAATACGGTGATGATTATGCCAGTCACATGTTAATTGGACCGTGTCAACTGGTGGTGTGTATTGTATAGATAATGTATATAGTATGTGTAGTGCCTGTGACGTCACCAGCCAATCAAACGGATTAAGGTTGTAATTGAAAATTTGAAAACCGTTTTTCGCTTTCGGATACTTAAACCTCAATAGCTGAATTAATTTTAATCAGATTGGTTTGAACTTGCCGGAAAATGGATATAGTAACCATTGGCTATAAGTACATTCAATTAAGATTTTTAATCTTATGTGGTCTTTAATTATAGTTCATTGCTCCAGAACTATACCAAATCAAGTCATATCGGAAGTGAAATTTTCGTCCATCATAAGCTTTATTGAAACATACATTACAGCACACAAAAGAAACAATATCTAGGTCCAGCTGATTTTGTTTAGACAAATAATTAATTTGAGCATGTACGTAAGAAGTATTGGTTCGTACCATCAAACTAAATCCATTTAATGCATATTATGGGTACAATAATTAATACCCCTATCTATTTATTGTCTATCTTTGTTGTTTCAGTGTTCGAGAACTGTCACATTTGGTAAAACAATAAAATATGTCTAATTGTAGGGGAGGTTATAATTAAATAGGAACAATAATGGTACATGTGCTACAACAGAAAACAAATTATACGGGAATTTTCACAATAACAAATTGTATTCCTTTGAAAATAAAAAAAACTCATACTGCGTAAACTTTTTCAATGTCACGCATCTTGGAAGTAAGTCCTGCTCTCTCTTCAACACCTTGGGCGTTAAAGTAAGCGGGACAGTGTTCGGAGCAGTACTCTAGTCACTTGATGTACGCCTCTGTGTATATACTATTTATTGTTTAAGCGTCATTTAGCAGTCATTGTTTTTTCAGGCGCGATTTATTTCTGGTGATGTTGCACTGTGGTTGTCATTCTTTTGTTTGATAAAGACAAGAGAACCATCGTTGAAACATTGCACGAAATAAATGTTTTAAGTAACTTGTATTCCATATGTTGTTATAGTATAATATATGAATATGATACACATGTACTACTGTTGTATAGGATCATGTTATATAGGTACGATATTGTGTAGGGATGACAGAATATGATTGATACACAAACAACTTACCAACACAACCATCATTTGATTTAAAATAACCAACATTACATTTACAGATGTAGGATCCATTTGTATTAAGACACGATGACTGTAAACCACAATCAGGGGCTAGTGTATCGACACATTCGTCTTTATCTTCATCACATTGAGTTCCTTGCCAACCATCAACACAGCTACATGTACCATCAACGTTAGAACAAGATGCTGTAGTAGCATCGTAGCAGTCGCATGTGGATGAACAATCAGTACCATGTGTTCCTTGTGGACATTCTAGTAATAAATGACATACAAAAGTAACACAGGCACATACATTGTATTTCAAGAGAAGTAACACCATTAGCAATATTATATTGAATACAAAACATACATATTTACTCTTCACAAAAAGTAGGGGATATTGAAATGCAAATACCTATGCAGATTGTGATATGATAAATAGTCATGGACACTTGACATGCTTTGAGAGTATAATGTTCACAGATGAAGAACTTATCGCTCCAACACAACCACTGAGCTGCACATGTGACACGCAATAGTGCCATACACGTGGGAGGGGTTCATTGTCAAATTTGACACTTCAAGGAAGGGCTGATGAAAACTGCCGCATGTTGGTTTATCCTATCCATGTTAGCATTCCTATCGGTTCTTGCATAAGATTTACTGTTTAGCGTATCTTTGCTTTAGTGTGTTACGTATAATTTTATCGGGAGACGTGTTCGTCGACGTCAACAGACAACACTGCAAGAATCGGCCGTGGCACTGCAAGAGGAGTGGGTCAGATTGCTCTAAATCGTGATTGGATGGTTGATTAGGAGCATGCCCCTGACTAATTGCTGAATGTCTGAGGATTGGCGGAGAAATTTCTCATTATTAAGACAAAAATCAAAAACGTCCATTTTCACTTTTGACAGTGTATCTCTTTGCGAGTGAAATGGGGCCGTCAGATAAGCCACCCATATGAAATGTTTATGTTCATGTGTAGGCAATTGGCCTGTTATTAACACTGGTTACCTCTAATAAAAACAGCAGTGCATTTCCACAGTTTTGTATTGTTTCTGAATATTCCCTACTTTTTTGAAGAGTATATATAAAATATAAAAGTAGCCTATTTCCTTGTTTTGGTGTACATAAACATACAATAAAATACAACCCTCTAAGACAGGTTTAACTATTATTCATGAAACAACAGTTACTAAATTATTTAACTTGACAAACCTTTACAAGTAACTTGATCTGCTTCTAACTGAAAACCAGCAGGGCATGCACACGTAAATTCCCCAGGACCACCCTGTGTACAATTGCCATCTGTACATGGATTAACTGAACACTCATCTATATCTGTATTAACAAGGAAATATGAATCACCAATAGAAAACTATATTATTTTTGTATGCATTAGTAGTAAATGGTTGACAAGCAGTTCAAAAAGGAGAAACGACACAAAATCTAAAGTTCCATAATATAGAGTCAGATCTATGAATATAAACACTTTGTATTAGATATATGACTTATAATATACAGAAGAGTTCGCCAATTCTGACAAAAATTATAAGATATGCTAATTTCAATTTCAGGATGCCATCCTCCTGATCTAATGTTTTCGCTTAAAACGTATGGGGCCTAATTTCCGTCATAATTCTAACTTCTAACCTAGTAATGCATATGCTAATATGCTTATTTCTATGCATGTAACTTCTTACCTACATTTGGCCGAGAAAGTTCATCCAGATTTTCCGGCATGGTTCCCCTTGTCAGTGATGCAGGACAGAGGGCCTAACAAGGACAGCTGTCTAGTCATTCGGATGGGACAAAAAACCGAGGTCCTGTGTACACATTGGCGTGCCATAAAAGATCCCTTGACAGTTGGAATTCGATATATAAGAGTAGGCTGTAGTGCTGCTGTCCGGGCAAAATTTCCCCCATAGCACACTTTATGGCATATGTCCGTCTTCATTAGCCCAGTTCGGAGCAGAACAGTAGGACGTTAAACCCCATTTCATTTAATTTCTTACTTACATATGTTATACTGGCTATTTACAAATGTTAAAAATGTTAAGGTGTATGATTTATTTGTTAAATATTGCTGTTAGAATGTGTATTCTCTTCTATTTCTATTATTACTTTTAATTTATTTTGTAAACATTACACAAATGTTATGCTGTAAAGAGGTCAATATTCTAATGCCCGTTTTGGTTTCCCCTTGTTCCCTCCTGGTTCCTGAGCCAGTGACTTACTCACTGAACCACCACAGCTACAGATGATCTGAACGCTTGGCCAGATAAAAAGCTAGATTACTTGAATGATATCAAAAATACTTTACTTGTGTGCGTAAAATATTCCATAAATTTGAAGGGAAAAGATACGATAAATTAAACATTATTTACTTTCACCAAATATATTTTATTATTCTTTTAGAAATAAAAATAGACTAAATCAAACCATATGGCAGTATTAGGGCAAATGTACTATAAAGTAGCCTATTTATTTATTTAAAAAATATCTAGAATAATTTGCTTTGTACGTAAAATATTTTATTATATTTGACATAAAAATGTTGGGGGGTTGGATGGCCCGAATGGTTAGCGCGTGCGCGTTGTATCACAAGGTCTGTCATCGAGTCAACAGGTGTGGTTGTAAGTGACAAGAAGTAGGGTCGTCTGTCCAACCTCATGGGTTTTCTCCGGGTCCTCCGGTTTCCTCCCACTGCTAAAGACCCCTGGTTTGTGTCCATTGGACGTTAAACCCCATTTTTCCAATTATGATGCCTTTGCTGGGTAATATTTGTGAAATGTCAAAATGTGTACGAAACTAAAATGACTACAATAAATTAAATATAATAATGGAAATAGAACAAAATACAAATTCTAACTGCAATATTTAAGAGATAAGTCATACACCTTAATAGTAAGTGCTGGGGGGACTGTACCACACATAATTTACACAAAAACAAATCTACGGACAAGGCACAAGGCACAATGGATCCGGGGGGCTAGCCGTAAGCGTCCACTGCGCTGTACAGTCTCGGGCTTGAAGTGATACAGACTTCACTCAGATTTGAAAACAATCAGGAATATAACCTAGAGAAGCCATTGTGTAATGCCATGATGTAATGAGTCATGATTTGCTATATATGTGATACAAGAAATTGAAGTAAAAATTACCTCTACAAGTAACCACATCAGTGACATGTATAAAAAAAGAAGTTACATGCATAGAAGTAAGCATATTAACATACGCATTATTAGGTTAGAAGTTAGAATTATGCCAGAAATTCCACTCCATAAAAATGATGTTGCACATCACTAAACAAATAATCTAACTGGTTTTACCAGAGACACAATGGCCTGTTCCACCCCCGTATTTGAAATCTACAAAACTTGAAGTACCCTTGATAGAAAGTCTCACGGGTTGATTTCTAAATTCGCAACATCTAGAGGTTTAAATAATGTAGAAACAATCAAGCAAAGTATGGAAGGGGCTTGAATGGAAGCATTTTTAAAATTTTGCTTTGGATTACACTTGTATTATTTCAGTCCTTTTTGGTCTTGTCTATCCAAAGCTGGAAATAAATGTGACGCTAAAATCATCCCTAGTTTTGTAAACACTTGATATGAGGTCAAAAGTAACTAAAAGGCCACTTTTGACCTCTTAAATTCATTATATAATATCACCCATATTTTAAACATTGAAAAGAACCTACCTGTACAATTCAAATTATCAGCAGCAAGTTTGAAACCTCTTGTACAAAAACATCTGGAGCTCCCATTATTCAATATTTCACAATTTTCACAAGACAATGAACAATTTATACCACCTTTAATTAATAAATATTAATAGAATGTCAATTACTGAATAATCCACACAATGAATACATAGTATTACCTGTAATTATAATTGTAGTTACTCAATAACACCAAGTATTATACCTTCTATTTATTACCAGTAAGATAGCTACTAAAAGCATGGAAATACATCCACACTGCAGCTCAGTCTCAACGGCAGCTTTTCCAAAAGTAAACTTTGGATGTTGAGCATATTTGATGAAGCCAGAATGAAAAGTAGCAGAACAGCTTAATATCAATAGAATTCTTCCTTTCTTAACCCTAATGCTTCGCACCAAATTTAAAAGAAATCTGTTAAAAACTATAGCCTCTATCGTGTTCGAAAGGTTTTCGGCAAAGGGAAATAACTTGGAACAGAAGGTCGCGGAACACTGAATATCTATAGGGTTTGTCCTCTCGTGAAAAGGTTGCGAAATGCTGAAAATATATTGGGTTCATCCACTCATGACTCCAATGCTTCCCACTAAATTGAAAAACATCTGTTAAAAATTACAGCCGATATCACCCTCACCATGTTTTCGGAAAAGGGAGATAACTACGGAACAGTGAATATCGATAGGGTTGGTTCTATTTTGACCACAGTGTTTCACACAAAGTCTGCAAAACATCTATCAAAGCCTGTATTCTCTACCCACCTGGCTCATCAAACAGAACCTTCCTATCTTCCTTCCTACCATACTGAATATTGTCAACACTTCCCTTCAACACGGTATATTTCCACAACCCATGAAAATGGCCCTAGCCCCTTATAAAGAAGCCGTTACTCGACCCAAATATCGGCAAAAATTACAGACCCGTATCAAATCTAAGTTTTCTTTCGAAAGTCCTTGAAAAGTGTATTGTCGATCAGTCTAAATCTCATTTGTGTCAAAATAATTTGTTAGATAAGTACCAAAGTGCATATACAAGATTTCACTCAACCGAGACTGCTCTACTAAAAGCTCAAAATGATATCTTTTGATGTCCATGAACAACAACAAATGTGTGATGCTGGTACTGCTAGATTTGTCCGCCACATTTGATACAGTGGGCCATGAAGTGTTACTGTCTAGGCTTTATTCTGAATTTGGAGTGTCTGGCTCTTCTTTAGCACTTTTTCAGTCTTTATCTTTATTTAAGAAGTCAAGCAGTGTTATTAAATAACAAACTCTCTGAGCACAAGGACCTTCATGATGGAGTGCCCCAAGGCTCAATTTAAGGGCCTACTCTTTTTAAAGTTTATACTCCTCCCCTCAGAAATATGGTGTAGACTTTCACTTTTAGTTTTATGCAGATGATACCCAACTCTATATCGCTTTTAATCCTGCCTGGTCTAATTATTAAAAAAAAAACAAATAGAACTGTGTACTTCAGAAATTAAATCCTGGGTGTCTGTTAACTTTTTAAGATTAAATGACGACAATAAAACAGAGTACATTTTTTTTTTATCCAAATCGTCTGTGTTGAAATTGAAAAGTGATGTTAACATTTTAATAGGGTCTCATATCATCAAACCTGTTGAGTCTACCAGAAACACTGGTGTATTTTTTGACAATTGTATGGCCATGAGCACTCAAATCAAAAATATTTGTAAAGTATGTTACTTTCATCTCAGAAACACAAGTAAAATTCGTACAAATTTAGCCCCTGATGTTATAAAAAAAACCATTGTAAATTCACTTGTAACTTCTAGACTGGACAGCTGAAACTCTCTCTCTTAGCTGGTATAACTGATAATTTAATTCACAAACTTCAAATGGTTCAGAACTCAGCTATTGCATATGCAGTAAGAATTAGTAAGTACATTCTTTATAATAACCAGTAAGAATTAGTAAGTACATTCTTTATAATAATCAAATATGAACATACCAGTGCTTACACATCGGCTAGCATCATCATCTGAAATCCTAAAACCATTTCTACACTCGCATGAAAAACTTCCTGCTTCATTACGACAGGTGTGTTCACAGTTATCGATTCCATTTTCGCATTCATCAATATCTAGAACAAATATAGCCTGTATAGAACATTTTCAAAAGAACTAAATTAATACATTATGACAATGTATATTACATATGAACAATAAGTCATTAACTTAGTACAATATACATATAACACAACACAACACAACAGCATTTAGAAACAAGTCTTGTATATTTTATAACATACAGGAAACACAACAATAAGATTAATATCTATTGTAACGAATACCATGAATTTTACCAAACCTGGTATCGGTTTCCAGACGATTACTAGAATTCTCGGAAGTTTAAATGGAACTCAATAATTGCTAACTTAAACAAGGTTTTTTATCGGTTTTCTAGAATAGTGGCAATAATTCTATGTTCTTACCCGCACAACTTCCATTCCGAAGAACAAATCCAGAACGACAAGAACAGATGAAGCTACCAACTGTATTGTTACAAAAAGAATCACAGGTGTTTAACTGACTGCTACTACATTCATCAATATCTAAAATACAAATAATATATTCTGTATCAAATTATATCACTATACTATAGTGACTATAGTAATACATTATCAAAACTGCTACTACAAGCATCAATATCATTTTCATCTCAAGATCTTTTAGTTACATGATTTGCAAAAAAACAGATTTAAATCCTTGTTTGAATTGGAAAATTATGAATAAAATGTATGTCTGTAAATCCTATTCCAAGTGTTAGTGTGTGTGTGTGTGTGGATGTAGGTGTGTGTGAAAAATGAGTAAAAGATAAAGGGCATCATTCTGTCTGGACCTCTAGAGGGTCCACAAGCTAAAATCTGGATTTTTTGTACAATCAGGGGCCATAATCCAGGAAGTTACGATCCGATATGCGTGAATATCGAACAGAACCAAGATCTTTGGAATATGAACATATATCTTAAGTTTCATCAAAATCGGACAAAAATTATTACATACTTTTACAGTATTTGCGTTCAAGGAGCGGCCATTTTTTCGGGCAGTATCTGTTAGATTTTTATGAAATTCAAACTTAATCACCATTAGGTGTAATGGTGATATATTTAAACAATTTTAAGAACAGATAAAAATTGTGACCTTTAGAGGGTTCACAAAGTAAAATCCTGATTTTTCCGTACAATCAGGGGCCATAATCCAGGAACTTATAATTCAAGTTTCGTCAAAATCGGATAAGAATTGTGACCTGTAGAGTGTCCACAAACAAATTGTGGACGGACGGACAAGGGTGACGACAATATATGTCCACATGTAGAAGGCACTTAACCTTATACAGGTCAGTCATCTTATACAGAGTTAGAAGAAGGCTTTTGCAATAGCTTGTAAAATTGATTGGACAAATGGCTGTTTTCTATTTATGAACGAACTCATAAAAGGAATAACAATAACCACTATAATATTTATGTATATCGTTGTATTTAATGATGTTTATTTTGGAATTGGCCTGCTATTTAACATATTCCTGAAGCCATTCTCTGGCCATTGCTGGATTGGCTTCTGATACTTGAACTTTTGTGGGAGTGTGACTATTCTTCCCATTCAATCAAATCTATCCCAAGTACAGCAATATGACAGCCCTTCATTTAATCTGGGGTCTTCCCTAAAACTTTGGACAGTGATTTAAGGTATTAAAACGGTGAAAGTATTGTTCCTCTCCAAACAGTATTGTTTACATTGTATCCGTGTTGATAGCCTCATTTGTCACGCAATTAGTTTTTCTGCAATATTCTGCTATGCACTGGTTAATTGGGCATAATAAAATGGTGAGTCATGACGTAACGTTATGTAAACATATTTGGTCCAATTTGGACCTCTGTTTAAAGGGTAATGATATGGTTATGCAGTTAGCTATTGGTTGTTAATCGGACTATTGACCAGTCATAATTTGGAACAGAAATTTGCTTTCATTACAGCAGTGTTTAGTGGGATTAGCTCTAAACAAACGAAACACTGCAAGGAGTATGGCTATTTAATAACACGTCTTCTCTATACAACATAGCAATTTGTACATACTATGTGGTCAATACAGCAATGTATTTTTAACATTGTACTGAATCTGTTAATATCTTGATAAGTTAGTTTCCTGAATATGCTTGGTGTCAATGTACATAATTTGTATTTACATGTTTTGCAATGTATATATTTACCATGGGTTTAATTTATTTCCATATTATCATATTCGGTATTTTTCAATCTATTATAAAGCTGTTAATAACATTTATTTATAAACGATCATTGTTAAACATAAGAAGATATAAAAAATCGCACCTTGACATGTATTGGATATTAAATCATAACCTTCTCTACAATCACAAGAATAATTTCCAGGTGTATTTCGGCATGTAGATAATTGTGGACAAATTCCAACAGTGCTACATTCGTCTACATCTTGTTGACATTTGTCACCCTGCCAACCATTTTTACAAACACATCCTGTTATTTTATCACATCCGGATGCTCCTATACCACACCCACATTCATTAACACAGTTTTCACCCCAATGAGAATTGTCACAATCTGAAAAATAACAAGCAAATCACGGTAAATCAATCTTAAAATTCCATCCGCATTGAAATATTCCCATTACAGTCATAAGAATTAAGTTTTCATTCAGAATAGTAAATATGGCGTCCAACGTGAATCTAAAATGCATGTCTGTAACACCATAAATGTCTAATTCAAAATGACGTGAATATTGAGGATTGAACACGAAATGCTATGTGCTAATTTATTTGGGTCATAAGGATATAAAACATTAGTACCAAGTTCATATAGCTACATGTTTGTATCATGATTTAAGATGGTGGCACCTACAGTTGAAATAAAATGTGCAGTCACTAATGTGCCCCTTGCAGAAACTCTAAAGTCTTAGCAGGCGTACTAAAACGATATCTCTAATCCAAAATGTCTTAAGTAATATTTGGATCCCAGTACAATCCTGTGTGCTGACATTGTTTACATACCTAAACAGGTTCTTTCATCATTTTCTAGCTTTTTACCAACAGGACAAGAACAGGAATAAGAACCAATTTTATTGTCACATGTATGAGAACAACGATTGGTGACATTACTCTCGCACTCATTGATATCTGTAATAACAAATATGTAAATTAACGTCAATTACTATATATTCAAATAATATTATTTAATATAATAACAATGACTAGTTTTGTCAATTTTATAATATCGTTGTCACACGGTGTCTAAAATAGCCCATTTCATACCATACTGCATATTTAAGAATTAAAGATGCATTATGTAAGAGCTAAATCTGCCTATTGCACGTCTTTATTTTGGCTTCATGTTATATAAATGATTTTTTAGACATTTATTAACATAATAAGCCTATAATCAAGTCTTCAGACCATCGAATGGCTGAGATTTAGATGGATTTAAACGCCGCAAAATTAAAAAAATTAAAGATAAAATAGATGGACAGTTTAGGTTGTCAAGTACCATTGCTACAATAATGAACGATCTATGGCATATCTTCAAACAGTCATTACTTGGTTCAGAATAAAATAATTCTAATGAAATGTTCAATACATTCATTTTTCTTTATCTATCTTTGAACTATTATAGCAAGAACGTCCAGCTCTTGATCTAAATCTTACATAATGCATCTTTAATATAGTGTTACTGTTACACGCATTGATATCCGAGTGGGTGATAGGGGTACTAACATTTTCGAAACATTTGTTCACCAATTACAAGGTTCGTTATAATATTGCTCCATGTCCGTCTATATTGAGACGATCTAATAAATACCCTTAATTTATATTGTTCCACAGGAATATGTAGAGTATGCATATCGAATCTATCTTTCCTTGTGGCTCAGTAATGCTTTTTTCGGTTCTTGTCGTTGATTACTAATTAGTGGGACCTCCAATATTAGCTACTTTGCCGTAGACAAATGTGCGTATTCATATCATAAAATATCCATAATAAACAGCACTTGTATAATTTAATCAAAATAATTTTTGTCAATTATTATCATAAAAGCCTTTTCAGTCATTGGAGTGATGGGATTTTACATTGTTTTGTAAAATCAAACAAAAGTTGGAAATGTTCCTACCTAAGCATGTTTGCTGATCATTAGCTAATCTGTAACCACTTTGACAATAACAATTTGCTGTTTCTCCAGATAAACTCACATTACAGGCATAGCTACAGTTGAGATTTATAAATGTAGCACAGACATCCTCCACTGTCAAAACAATATGGATATATGTTTATATATATTTTAAAGTTAACTATAGTGTTGGTTTTTAAAAGGTATTTTTTTTTAAAAATAGTATTAAAGTGCTATTAAAATCAAATTTAGAAATCAAGTTTTTTATTTGTAGGTATACTCTTTTAGTGGAATCACTTTAATTATTTTGATGTTTAGAATATGCTAATTTAGCCAATTCTCTTGCTTGATTGATTGGCAAATATACCATAATGACATACCTTTTAGACAGGTTTTTCTGTCTCCTGCAAGTTGGAAACCAAATTCACATCTACAATTATAGCCACCTTCAACATTGTCACAGAATTGCTGGCAACCATGTGCCTCAGACGAACATTCATCAATATCTGAAGAAAAGATACAGATTGCAAAAATTCGTCCGACAACATACATGCTTTTGATCTAATATAATAAAATCTTTGAATGGCATACTATAACACAACACGGTTTTATGGATAACAATGGGACAAGTTACTTGGTGGTTTTGTAGTAGTGATCACACATACATCATGGTTAGATTTAATTATTGATCTTGTTATTAAATCATGTTTTCATACAATTTATGATCTTGATTATTATTATTATTATTATTATATAGTTATATAATCAAAGACATCATTTAGCGCTATAGGAATCTATTGTAAACTACAATATTGTGAAGGCTTAATCTATTATAGGAATATTCGCCCAAAAATCATTCAGTTCCGTTCAGTAGTTACAAAGTTATGATAATTTGAAATTTCATCGATCTATACTGCCCGAACAGAACAAGACACTGCCATGTTAATTTTTAAATAATCAATCTGAGTACACAATTATCGTAACACGATGTCGTTATGTTAAATTTTAAATAAACAATCTGGGTATAAAATCAGTGTGTATTAAGCCAAGAGGAGTTTGATATTTTACCGATAATTCAAATGACTTATTGAGCCTTTAAGTATATAAAAAGAGTTAAAAGCATTTCATTCAAATTTTTACTTTACTTCTGATTTATTACCCAACCACCACCACTATAAAATATATGTAGTTAAATTGATTTTTATCACCCGAATATAAAAATGCAACTCAAATTTTATATATACGGTCATATCAGAAAATATATGATACACACTGACCAACACATTGTTTGATATTAACGTCACTTGTTCTGTATCCCGATGTACATCCACATGAAAAAGAACCATTTGTATTCAAACAGGTTTGTTCACAATCATTAATGCTATCATCGTTACATTCATTGATATCTGTAAAACAAATCACACACAGTTATATCATACTAAATATAAAGATATTTCAAAAGCTTTTCATTATACTTTCGTTTTGTTGGGTGTTCTGAAATAAAATGAAATGTGGTTTCTCCATCAATTGGGCTAATGAAGACGGAAGTCGCAATGGCCTACTTCTATTACAAATTCAATCTGTCAAGGTTGCTTTTATGTGCACACCAATGTGTACACTGGACCTTGTTTTTTCGTACCATCCGAATGACTATATGCTGGATGTGCCTTACCAGGCCCTCCGTCCTGCACCACTGACAATTGAAAATCCAGCTGAACTTTCTCAGCCAACACCGGGATTGAACACGGGACCTTCAGGTTAGCGAATCAATGAACGACAAAAATATATGACACTGAAATTAGAACTAAGCCCCTCATCAGTTGTAAATCAAAATTTATGTTGAATATTACAGACTTACCTTGACATATGCCATTTAGTTTTTGATAACCCGATTGACATAAACATTGGTAAGAACCATCAGTATTATCACAGATTGTATCAGCTGTACAATTAAATGTACCCTCTGTACATTCATCAATATCTGTTGTACAATTTTCTCCTCTCCAACCATTTTTACAAATACATCCTCTAACCTTATCACATTCAATGCCATTCGTACCACATTGACACGTTTTACTGCAACCGACTCCATATGTAAATATGGGACATTCTGTAAAATAAAAATAAATAAAAAGATGCTTCGTTAGATTTCAAAACAAGACAAAAATTAAATTTTCCGAGAATAGTGTGTAATAGTAAGTGCAGGGGAGGGGAGGGGGGGGGGGGACTGCAACACACACAAACCATTACACAAGACAAATCTAAGGACAAGATACAATATATACAGAAACGTACGATATATATATCAGATCAAGTGAATGGATCTGGTGGCTAGTCGTAAGCTTCCACTGCAGTATACAGTCCCGGGCCTGTGTGATACAAACCTTACTAAAAATGAAAACCAAACTAAAGGGAGGGAACTCAAAAAATGGGAATATTTCCAAAACTTTGTCGTGATCGACAATGGGCTATATGAAATATAAATGTAGGCACATTGAAAGGAAACATTTACATGAAATGTAGTAAAAACTAAATGGCCTATGTAGTAGTCAAACAAGCCAACAGTGAGGCTGATTTCCCCCGCCAAAATTCCAAAATAAATGGATGACACATATTAATTAATCGCACATTTATTTTTTCAAAAGTATTGAGCAATCTAACTACACACTAAGTTTCATCACTCTCTATCAGATAGAATCATGATTATCTTGTCCCAAAGCATCGACCAATGAAATTGATTAGCTCTGCTTAGCTTCAGCTTGAAATGTTAATCATTGAAATCAGTCAAGACATTCACCTAATGAACATCTACATCAAGTTTAAACATTCTACCTCAATTAAAAGCAGAGTTGTTATGTTCCAAAGTCTTGACCAATCAAATTGCTTATTGCTCTTTAGCCTAAGCAGAAAGTTCTCACCATCGAATTTAGTCAAGGTAATGAATGCTTACCCCAAGTTTGAACATTCTACCTCAATTGGAAGGAGAGTTATTGTGTTCCAAAGTCTCAACCAATCAAATTGCTTATCGCTCTGCTTACCCTCATAAGAAAATGTTCTTTACCAAACTGAGTAAAGGTATTGATGTCATAAAGCTATACACCTAGTTTCATCACTCTCACATTATTAGAACTAAAATTATCGTGTCCCAGAGTATCAACCAATCAAATTGCTTATCTCTGCTTACCCTACGCAGACAATTCTCATCTTCGAACTCTATCAAGGCATTCACCTAACAGACACCTACGCCAAGTGTGATCAGGGATCAAAGCATTATGAGCGTGGGAAAGAATTCAAGTGTATTAATAACAAAGTTAGGTCATAAGTCCTTATATCTCTAGAACAGATAGAGAAAATCTAATACTGATTACAAGGAAGCAAAAGCGGAAAATGTGAAAAGCCTTGATGGCGATCATCTGTTGAATGCTGTTACATAAAGGCGGTAGTTTGCCTCTAGGGGAATCAAATATGCCAAACGCTATATAATGGTTAAAATCCTAGTAATTTGAGCTTACGTTTAAACCATCCACTTGGTAAAATTGAACCATTTCAAGAGAGAGTTTGAATGCCGAGTCGTCTTACCTTGAACGACATGTTACGAATTGGGTGACTTTGTAGCCCCAACATGCCAAGAATAACTATATCTTGTCTTTTTGTAAAGTAAGAGTGGGAGAGATAGAGAAATGGGATTTAACGTACACACGACACAAACTAGGTCATTTCGGGACTAACATATGGTTTTAATTTTATTTCAATAATTCGCTTGCGCGTAGGGGTCTTTTGCAGTGGGAGGAAACCAGAGGACCTGGAGAAAACCCACGAGGTTGGATTTTGTAAAGTGGTATGAATGCCTATTGTGCTGACAATCCTAACTAATTACTTATGTTTTTAATTATGTAAATAATCTACCTTCACACGTCTTTCTATCTTGAGCTAAATTATAACCTGGGAAACAGGAACATTCAAAACTGCCAACATTATTACTACATTCCTGCGAACACGGGGTAGGATTTCTTGAACATTCATCTTCATCTAAAAAAAAAAAATATTATAGCAATCATCAGTTTTCTTTCAAACATAGTCTATTGTACGAATTGAGATAACAATTTATCAAAAATTGATCGGTAATTTCTGTCACGTTAAAGTGTGAATTTAAGAAAACTTGGCAAATTTACTGCTCTCGTCATTATCGAAATTGGAACCCGAAGAACATATTTAACAACTCGGCTTTACTGAAAATTGAATGAGCAATTGTGCCGGTATTGTGCCATATAGCCATCATCAAACATTATGTATATCGAATAACCATTTTTTTGTAAAAATACCACTATTTCCTGTCATAATTTTAAAAATTAATATATGAATAGAATCAACTATCATGTCCATGTATTTAAGTAAATTAAGTAGAGGGGTGATATAGACCTAGCCCATCTTGTGAAAATATGGGATCCTAATATACAATATTTTACCTGTCTGCCCGAAAAGTCAGATTGCCCGAAAGTTAAGGAGGCAGCTGTCCCTCCCCTCCCCGCCCTTCCCTGGCTCGTACACCTATGAGTGGAAATTTTTCTGACAACACAGGGATCACACCGGAACCTACTATTTAGTGAACCATCACCATACTCTTCGCTTAAAGATTATAAGCTAGATTCAATTGAAACACCGGAGTCTGATCGTTTGAAACACCGAAGTCTGATCGTTTTACAATTTTAATTGAATCAGGTGTAATGTTTAGTAGTTTTCTTCACTCATCATTCTTATTTCAATATCTTCGATGTATAATAAAAGTTTATAACTGTGTATGATGAACATTTACCTAATATGTCATCATTTTAATACCCTTTGCTAAATTGAGCAACACATGGTAATTAACAGACAATAAAGAGCGGTTTCGTCTGATTCTTATTGGCCGCCATCTTGTATTAAACTAGTAACTATGTTGAGGGCAATAAATTCTATATAATAATTATACCAATATGTACATTAAATGGTTAACATATCTAACATACAACAGACTGTACACTATTTCACTAAAGAATGTGCAATGAAACACCAATTTTGTCCTTTTAATGGTGGGGGGGAGTAAGTTACATATACGTTACCAACACCTAGATGGATAGAGGGGCCGTTATGAAATATTTAAAAAGTCTTACCGTCACAAGTTACATTATCAGCATTTAGAATATATCCTATTCTACAAAAACATACTGTAGAACCGGAATCGCCCGCAGAACAACCTTGTGTGCAATTACTTGATTGACATATAGTGGTATCTAAGTAAATAAAATATAGCAATGCATTCCCGATTGAAAATATCTGTCGAGGGTTAGAAAGAGATGGAGGGAGGGGGGAGAAAGAGAGGGGATGGGAGAGAGAGAGAGGGTGGGCTTTTAGCGTTCATTCTACAAATACTTGGTCATTTCGGGACTAACTAGGGGCCCCATGCCACTGGTGTATATCGGAGTGAAAATCGACGTGGATGGAGTGAAAATCAACGTCCCATGTGCGCGCTGACATTCATGTAAAAAAAACTATAATGGCACACAGCATTGGGTATAGTTGTCTTCCATTACCCGGTTGGCCACCCCCTGCCTAGTTCGGAGGAAATCACAGTTTTAATGATTAGACATAGTGATCTAAAAAAAAATATACATACTTGATGTACAGTTCTTGCCATCTGCATTTAATATATATCCTGATCTACAGGAACAGTTAAAATTACCATCTGTATTTGTACACAACTGATTACATCCACTAATTCTCTCATCACATTCATTGATATCTACATAATAAGTTTTATATCAGTAATATATAAGAGTCAACCTATCAACGTAATCTGTTGTGATAATCCAGTCCCGCACTAGTAGAAAATATAATCAGTAGACAATAGAATGTGTTAAACATGTAAATAATTTTGAACGGTAGATTATATATCTAGGAGCAGTTGTCGTGTTAATAACGACCAAATACAGATCAGTGCTACTGATTTCATTTTCACAATACTTAGATTTATACTTTCTATTAAATCCAGGTTTCATTAAATAAATAATGTAAATAGATACGTACCATTACATGTACCGAAACCTTGTTTTCTGTACCCAGAATTACAGCTACATGTATAACTTCCATCTGTGTTTTTACAAACTTGATCACAATTATTGGTTGAGTTACATTCATTAACATCTGTTGAGAATATACAGTTGTTTATTTAAAACTGGTTTTTGTTTAGTGTTTATATATAGTATATAGATTTAAAACTTTGTATAAGACATATCAATTCAAATACAATAAAATAATATGCATAATTTACCTTCACATTTAGGTGGTTCGCCCTGTTCTGAATAACCGTCAGGACATGGTGAACAATCATAACCAATGTTAGTGACAGTATGGTTAGCTGCTGGTCTGTCTGTACAGTTTTGACCTACAAGACATGGGTCATCAGCACAACCATCGATATCTACATTACAACTATCACCTGTGATACAAAAGATAAATAGAACAAAGGGCCGTGTATATTAATATAATTACTGTTCCATACAAGTAAAATGACATCTATTCCAGTAATAAAAGACACCAATATAGATATTATAGAGATATGACATCTATTCTCCATACATATTGATTATCAAATCATGTATAACAGATTACATGTTATTATATACATGTAATGTCATTTTTAAAACAACACAGTCAAATGTAAATTTTATTCATCATTTCCACCTGCCACTGGTAGTTGAAGACTATTATCCATACACAACGCGGTGTAGTACTGGAGAATTCACAATAGGTTCCATCACCACATCTGTATCTTAGGACATGGTCATATGTATACATAAATGCATATGGACTGGTCAACTTGGGTTTAAAACCAGTAGAAATATGACGTACCTTACCACACTTTACCTTACCACTCAATATAACAATTACAAGTCACCAGTAGAAAGATACCTTCCCTAACCACTCAATATAACAGTTACAAACCACCAATAGAATGGTGACCCACCTGACCACTCAATATAACAGTTACAAGACACCAGTAGAAATATGACTTACCCCACACACACTCATTTAACTAGCAAACTTAAATGCAACCAGTATACATTAGATATCAAAAACGTGATACAAGAAGATTTACCTTCCCATCCTCTACTACAATTACAAGCAACCAGTTGAAATGACGGATTATCAGCCTCATCCAGGGCTTGTCTGGTTCGTGAATGATCACAATTACCGTTACTATTGCAACCATCACATAGGCGTACTTGAACTTCTAAAGGTGGAGATTGTAGGTTATTGGTATCTTGAACAACGAATCTTGAAAAAAGGGCAAAATATGGCAAAATGATTTAAGAAAATGGACAAAATAATAATAATAATAACTGTCTTATATGGCGCACATTTCCATCAAGTTAATACTCAAGGCGCATTTAGCTCTAGACTTGCCACAAAAATAAAACACAGTTAATGTTAATATGCAGTCGTAAAAAAAGTCTTTAACTGCTTCTTAAAACAGCCAAAAGATTATGAATTATTTATGGTCAATGGTAAGGAATTATATATGTTTGGTACATTGAATGAGAAGCATCTATGGCCGAAAGAGTTATGTCTATATCTGATGATACGGTATGTACTATAATGAATTCATAAAGAGAAAACCGATAATATAAATTATACATACGAGATGTTAACAGGGTTGGCATCGGATGGAGTCCAAGAAGCATAATTAGTTTGATTGTTAAATGAGAAATTTGAAACAGGTTGATCAACTACAATATATGTTACACCATCGCCATCTTCTGAATCTGTACCTATGACACTTATAACAGATGTCTCACCAACAGTAGCATTTAATATAGTTGTACCGTTAATTTCAGGGGTTGTATTAGCTGAAGTTAATAAATCAGAATAAACTAATCACAGCTTCACTGCTTGTCTTGTACACGTACATTAAAACAATATTGTTTAAAATTACTAATAGTTCTTTTAATTCATGTTACACAGATATCCACTTGTATTTACTAATTGTTCGATCATCATTAAGACCACATCGATTATAATTCTGCCCCAATTTCTTCAGGAAAAACACTAATTTAAAACAAAAGGTACTTAGTTGCTCTTCTCAAGAGCATTTAGTTCCAAATATTTAAGTTTTGAAATTTTAGCACTACATCGTGTGTAATAATAATTGAGTGGGTTATTTACTGATCAAGATTCCAAAGAATATGGAAGCCTTTTAACTAGTTTTTGAAGTTTGTATAATAAGGGGTGGGACGATTTACCCAATACTACCCAATACTACCCAATACCACCCAATACAACCCCAATACCATCTCAATATCACCACATACTACCCAATACTACAACATAATGATGCAATATTGACATTTCATTTGATTTCTTTTCAAAAATAGAGAGTTATATCGCGGGAAATGTACTTCAAATGCGATACCGATGTCTGGCTGTTCTATTTGCCTCCCTATACCACCCCAAAAAAGCTAATAATAACCCGATACTACCAAATACTCATCAAATAGTACCAAATATGATCAAATAACAACCTAATATTGTCAAATAACAGCGCATTAGTATAATTACTGCAACTAATATTCGATATTTTGCAGAAAATTGTAATTTTTACACAGTTATCTCCCTTTACAACCGGTAAATTGATTTTAGATTGCTACTCGGTTTAATCATCTTCTTTGGCTCTGCGATAGGTTTCCAATCGACAAACTTAAAATAAGAAAAACAAGTATGACGATATACCACATTTCATTCCCAAAATGACCCATCTATCTGTTACCAAGCGAGTTAATGAAATAATATTTAACTATATGTTAGTCCCGAAATTACCTAGTTAGTGTCGATTGTTTGTATTCATTTTAAAATTAATGCTTTAACACAACAATTGCATAATGTTTATATTCATTTTTTCATATCAACTGTTAAGTTATTGCGCATTTACTTACTGCACGATGTTTTATTTGAAAATTAACGAAATTGCACATGTTTCTTTCTAGTGTGTAATTCTCGACGCAACACATCTCAGTTCATCAAAACTATCATTTGCGGCCTGTTACAGCCCTGTCGGTTTCTTTGATAATATAAATAAACCAGAACTTGATTACCCAATCAACAATCTTAACCACGTTGATTAATTGTTAAGTCAGGTGGAATGTATATACGAGTAGAGCATTACACATTTGTAATAAACATGTACAATTTCGTTAATTTTAAACTAAAACATCGCCCATTAAGTATATGCATATTAATGTGTGGGATGAAACTGGTGACCGTGTCTATTTATTTAGGTGGTAATGACATCGCCGCGACATCGTCACCTGTGGGTACCGTAGAATACTTATAATTTGTTCAATAGTGTCGATATTCGAAGAATCGGTGAAAGTTTGACAAGAGGGGTTTTTTTTCAAAGGCGACTGGTTTGGAACCGGAACCATTTAAAAGACAAAGAAGACGAGTTAATAAGTCATTAAAAGCAGATGTAAAGATAAATTTGTGTGCTTTACTGACATATTATACCCAAATGATTTTACAGGATGAAGAAATATTTATAGTATAAGAAGACTTTTGAGTGGGCCATGAGACCGTTAAATGAACATATCAACCTCTTAAATACTCTTTTATTTGGATGCTTGGCTGTTTATTTTATAAACTGATTTTATTTTAATGCATTTTTAAATCTTTGTTAACTTCTTTTAAAACTCTTTTTTGTCTTGAAAACAAACTGCAAAGCCCAACAAGATGATTAATCCGAGTAGCAATCTAAAATCTATTTGTCGGTTGTAAAGGGAGAGAACTGCGTAAATATTTTATTTTTCTGTAAATTATCGAATATTCGTTGCAATTATTATATTGATGTGCTGCTAATTGACGATATTAGGTTTGTATTTTATAATATTGGGTAGAATTAAGTAGTATTTGATAAGTATTTGGTAGTATTGGGTTATTATTTGGGTGATATAGGGAGGCAAATGGAACAGCCAGACTTAGGTAATCACATTTGAAGTACATTTCCCATTCTTTTGAAAAAAATCAAGTAATATGCTCATTTGGCACCATTATGTTGTAGTATTGGGTATTATGTGATATTTGAGTGGTATTTGGGTGGTATTGGGTGGTACTGGGTAGTATTGGGTAAATCGTCTCGCCGTATAATAAGTTTCCGATTTCATATATAGCCTGTAGCTTTTATATTATGTTCTCTTCCTTCGTTATATACCATACATACCATACATATCATACATACATACATACATACATACATACCATTTTCAGAATTTGTAGATTCTGCATCGTCGTTGCTGGTTAGAGTCTCTGCTGCTAATGCCTGGTTACCCGTGGCAATGAAATCATAAATACATGCCAGATTGGTCTGACCTCCACAAACAGCGTACGCCTGGGCCTTAACATCATCTGGTTGTTCATCAAGAAAAACGGGAACGAATTCTGGGAACGAAAAATCTGCCGGTCCCTTTCTTGGAGGATAATTAAAAACAGATTCTGAAGCATTAATCATCCCTTGATGAATAAAAGAAAATGAAATTATAAGACACGTATCAAATACTACAAAATTTATTATACGATATAATATCTACAATGTGTAGGTCTAGACAACAATAAGATGTTCCATAGTTTACAGAAATCTTGCGTAAAAACCTTCTCTGGCATGATATCTAACTCACGTTTGTTGTACTTTGGGATTATTGTACAAATATATATACTTACACTGTTGACCGAAGTCTCTATATATTTCCCTTTCTGTAATGTTTGGTGAAAGCACTGTTCCATTAGGTAATGCAAAATCATCGTTGACATCATTGTTAAAATTACCCATTAACCCTCTGGTAGAGTTCATATAATCTTCCGGTACAGTGCATGATATAGTAAGAAGTTTTAAACCAGGTGTAACTGTCAAGGATATTCCTAAAACAGACCAAGTAACACAACATGGGTTATCAGTGACATATTTCTTGTTTCGAGAAATGAATATGAGTAAGGCTATGTTTATTACATGACTATTGTCTTTTGAACTCATGATGATATAACACAGTAATCTTAGAAAAGTAAATATTAGCAGAATGATAAATATCGACAGGGTTCGTTCTCTTACGACCTCAATATATGCCTCAAACCATATTTGTTTGAAAATAATCTGTTCAAAACTATAGTCCCTATCGCTTTCACAAGTTTCATGCAAAGGGGTTAGGGGCTCCTAAACAAAAGCTGCGGAATGCAGATTTTCCATATCAATAGGGTTCATCCCCAATGGACAAACGGACCAACAGAGAACGATAAAAATCGATAGATTTCATGGTGCCATATTCTCAATTCATCACAATAGAGAGTCCACAAACACTATTTGGAGGGTCCACCAACTTCGTACATATTCATATTTGCATGAAAGGTAGGGGGTCATAACCTACATCCAAGGTATACTTAACATATGCTTTGCAACATATAAGGGCAATTATAACGAACGTTACATTCCGATTTCCAATGAAATAAAATGAAATAATATCAAATGGGGTTTAACGTCCTACGGGCACGCCAATGTGTAAAGGGGACCTCGGTTTTTTGTCCCATCCAAATGACCAGATGGTTTTCCCTGTCGGCCCTCTGCCCTGCACCACTGACAAGGGGAAAACTTTCTATACCAACATAGGGAGCGATCCCCCTCCCCCCCGGCCCCCCCCCCCCCCCACACATACACCCACCATTTTCCACTAAACTAAAATCGAACATCTCTGTCATTGTCGTGTAATAGTATATATTTAAACATTTTCGTACGGTCAGGGGTAATTGTACAGTCAATACAAAACTGGCTTTCCATATTAATACAAAATTTGGTTTCTTTCCTGCAAGAATCAATATAAAATTTGGCTTACCAGATGAAAATACTGCTGTGACTTTTGTGCCATTCCTTGATATTGATAATGCGCCTCCAGATTCATATGTAAAATCACTTATTTCATTAAAGCTGCTAGTAAAATCACGACCATTTCCGTAAATGATTAATCCTGAAATATAAGATTCAATCAATTTCAACCCTTTCAATATATTTCATTATTTGTCTGTGGAGTACTTAGATTGCGTTTTTACACATTAAACTGTTCTAAACAGGTTTCGTAACTGTGTACTAGTATTGCTATTTCTTGTCATCACGTTATGGATTAAAACCAGTAACTGTTTCCCCTAATTTCACGAATCTAGTACATCCAATTATCTCCACTCCACATTTACATGGCAATGTTTGGTCTAGAAGAAGAGTGCTAGAAATACCAAGTCAACTAGTAATTGGTAATTACCTCCCTTATTACGGTACCCAGTGACTGTGGTTCATCTATTTATATCAATTATCTCAAACCACCCGACATTGTTTGTTAACGTTTTGGTCCAAAACTGATTAAGAGTGTTTGATTTAACATTTTCTGCCAGGTTTTAATGAATATTCATGATTTTGATGCGAAAGATGTGGGAGTAAACATACATGCATTGTGGTTATAACGATTAAGATCATCCATATTATGTTAAATAGGAAAATTATAGGCTGAGGAACGACTGGGATTTAACATTGTAATCTGACCGAGTCTGAGACCATATGGTCCTTTTTCCCATTTTTGGATAGTCTCCCCCTTCTGAGTTTCTTTTCATTTTGGGGGGGGGGGGGGTTGGGTGGACTCTCTCTCTCTCTCTCTCTCTCTCTCTCTCTCTGGTGGATTAAATCAATTGATTTCATAGTATATTTGTTGTTTGTTACTTGGGGGGTGGGATGGCTGAATGGTTAGCATGTGCGCGCTGTATCATAAAGCCTGTCATTGAGTCAACTGGTGTCGTTTCGAATCCCTGGTTGTACGTGACAAGGAGTAGGGTCGCCTGTCCAACTTCGTGGGTTTTCTCCTGGTCCTCCGGTTACCTCCCACTGCTAAAGACCCCGACGCGCAAGCGAATTATTGAAATAAAATTAAAACATATGTTAGTCCCGAAATGACCTAGTTTGTTACTTACAGTGTGTGTTATTATGTGTGTGACATGTCGTGTCCGTGGGAGCCACAGTGCCTCGGTGAGTAAGACGTTGCCCACTGTCCAGGCAAAATTTCCCCCATAGCACACTGTATGGTATATGCCAGTCTTCGTTGGAGAAGAACAGTCAGGCCGTTAAACCCCATTTCATTTACTTTTTTTGCACCACGTCTTGATTCTTCAAACCCTTGTTACAGATCACCAACAGCAAAGATCTTAACCAGTTCTATCACATATATAGTAAGTGCAGGGGGGGGGGCTGCACCACACACATCACAAACAACAAACGTACACAGTGAATAGATCCGGTGGCTAGCCGTAATATTTTTGGACACCAACATTGTCCTTTCAGTCATGTGCATGGCTATCAGCCATTATGGTTTGCCCCTCCTAAGATTGCTTTGCTAATCATAATGCTTTACTCTAGTCGATAGGAAGAGGTCGAACGAATAATATATTTATTATACATGTAATTATATACTCTTAGAATGGTAGCACTTTATATCGAATGGGGTGGGGGCATATGTTATAATACCTGTTTTATTCTGGTCTAATTCTACCTGGAAAGTTGTTCCATTATCATCTCTGACAGCAAAGGCACTAAATATGGTAGCATTACTGAGCGTGCCATTAGCTGTTTCAGCTCTATCTGTCCTTCCTTGTAATACAAAATCTTCTGTTGTTGTACGCATCAAAGTGTATTCACCTAGTCCATTAAACACGAAAGTTTTACCATCCAGAGTATTAATATGTGGATCTCCAAATACCCAAACTAGTAATAAAATATTCAAATATAATCGTTTCATACATCCATTATTTTTGCACACTTTTATTATGATCTATTATCAAGAAATAAATCTGAACTACTACTGACCTATCGAAGGATGGTTTGGACCTGAATTTGGAGAAGGTAACCTCAGGGACAACGGCCAATAGCAAAGTCACCAATGGTTTGAACACAAAATTAAAGCTATGTATACTCCTAAATGGTATCATGTGTTCCTGAATGGTAATAATGTACTGTTTAGTGTACGACACCGATCTTTATTTTGTAGCCAATCAAAACAATGATTTCAGAACCCAAAGCTACTGGAACAGTGTTTTTCTTTTCTACTATATGCATGATTTTTCTGTCTAACTGTAGTCTCTTAAATTAACCGAAGTACCAACAGTAGCCTACTTGCCGATGAAAGATCAACCTTTGTATACGTGCTTAAGTCCATGTTCAATAATGAATTTGTGAGTTTAGTCTCGATTATCAACTATGTGTTTTATGTAAACATATTATAACTGTGTTTAATTTCGGCTTCATTTCTAACTAGCTGTTTGACAGACAAAAATATCATAGACATGTGTCACATTCAGTATAGAAATGAATTAAAGTTTGGGGAAAAGTTTATCTAGTTTGCTTGATTTCCTAAAAAGCCAGACTTACAAAATGCACGCATTTGGGGGGGGGGGGGGGGGGAGACACATTCGTTGTAAGCATATTGTCTACTTACATATTCTGAATGGTGATCTAAATGTACAAAATCCTGCTGGCCGTAACCAATTATAAAGATAACAATATCTATTAGACTGTTGACAACAATGTCTTCTAGCTAATGTATCCTCTGTGTAATGCTGTTGTCGAAAGAATCTTTGATTATAGGCAAGCGCTGAACCAGCCTGCTGACCAAACATCATATTTCTCCCAAATGAATCATAACAACATTCCTGGAAAAAAAAATCAAGAAAAGTTAGTTTTACCCAAAGAACTTGCAGCCAACACCGGATTCGAACCCGGGACCTCCAGGTTAGCTACCCAGCGTCTTACTCACAGAGCCACTTCGGCTCATCGAAGCTTGTTGAAATAAGTATAAATTTTTTTGTTTAAATGTTGACATGCTGTGTAAAAATTGAGTCCAGCTCAACATCAATGTAATCTAAATATATTGAACATTTTTAACTACATGTATTTCTATGCCTAAAATATTCCTCTGAAATGCCACATGAAAATTACCTTTTAACCATGGAAATATTACTCTTTGGACAATTTTTAATCTTAAAACCACTAATACAACCCCATATATAAATTGCTGTGAAATATATTGATATAAATTAAAAACCTTGCTACTGGGCCAAAACCTCCACGATGGTCGAATTCTGTAGCAAACAACACCATTACCGAAGCCAGAATATCGCCATCTCCAATCAAACCATAGCCGGAACAAACTGCATGGACATCTGGGAAGCCGACGAATAGTTCTTTGTGTGAAGTGATTTCTATTGCGATAATACCAGTTCAAACAAAGCTGAGAAGCACTTGGTGCAGAACCAATTTTGAATATCCAAAATCCCCTTAAACCTGAAAATACCCCAAATTTTTATTGTTTACTTTATCAAATTATGGTCATAGTTCCCCTGAAATTCATATATTATGAGCAACTCTGATTGATGAGAGCTGATTAGATGAATAGCTGTCAGGGAGTCTTTCAACTTAATGAAAACTTAAAGACAGGTCATGGCAAGACCACCACCACCACCCCCACCCTCATCCTGAATCGGTATCAAAAACTTTCGTAACTTAGCGTACATGGGTACATCACGCCATAACCTCCGAGCTGTGCGAATGCTTCAATCTAAATTTGGAATATAAAATATACAACAAACTTTGACCACGGTTTATGAAAAGCAAGATATAGCGATATATATATAGTTCGTCTCCTCATGACCCCAGTGCTTAATACCAAATTTGAAAAATGATCCGTTAAAAACTATAGCATCTATAGGGTTCAGAATGTTTTCTGCTTAAGGGGTGGTGGTGCGTTCGTCATGTCATCACTCTAGTGCTTCACACCAAATTTTAACATTTGTTAAAAACTTTAGCCTCTATCGCGTTCCCTATAGAACAGGTGGCGGAAAAATATCAAACTTTTGTCGACGACATGTTCCTTTCTGAGTTTAACACGCAAAATTCCAAATGTGCACAGAAAAATAAATGCAGCAGATCAACTTCCAACAGCAAATCTCAGCTAAATATTATTCAAAATTACATAGACATATTCTTGTATTAGTTTGGTACTTTCAATTAAATGCTGTGTAATTATTCATGTCTGTTATTTTTTTAAAAGAGGTGTACCAAAGCACTTCTGAAAATGTCTGACAAGGATCATGTGATTAAATTGTAATAAATTATGTACATCATCATCAACTATTTCAAATGTACATTTATAGATCAAAATCATAATAAATTTGAAATATACGCACCTGTATTACCACGAAATCTGTCTATTTCAAAACTAGCTTCTGTTCCAGAATATAAAATATTATTAAAAATTCCGTTATCATTATGTCCAATAAAGACACGTCCTCTTCTCTCAAACCAGTTCATTGCACGGTCTTTATATAAGTATAACGCATATGTGTCCAAACCATTTGACACCAACACCACTTGAAATGTAACTCGCTATAATTAAAGGAAAATTAGGTCCATTCAACACAACATTTCATCCATTTTGAAACTAACAAGGGGTATTTTTCTTTTGTATGGTTTTATGTGCAGGGAGTTCAGTCATTGTAATCCAAACCACAAGATGTGTACACATTGCAGGTGTTGTTTCTGACAACCTAGAGTTTCTTGGCCTATGACAGGATCCGAATCAGATATTATTATGTCATTCGTCCAGTGAACCATTGCCATTCTATTTGTTGTTTATCTTGTGGAACTTCTTGTCATTCGTCTGGTGAGTCTGGCATATTTTACATTCGTCCAGTGAGTTGTCATATTTTACATTCATCCAGTGAACCTGTATTATTCGTTTAGTGGGCCTATAGTGAGCCTATTATATTTGCCTTTCGTCCAGTGAGCCTATGTTATTCATCCAGTGAGTCTGTGTTATTTATCTGGTAGGCCTTTCGTATTTGTCACTATATACAGTTCTAGTGAATCTGACATTCTGACATTCATTTTATTTTCCATAGAATGATTCTGTGGGAAAAAGAGACATTGGCCACTCAAACCATCCCACAAAACTATCCATTCCATAAAAAACTAGGACCCATTCCATAAAATAAGTTAGGATTCAATAACAAATAATATGATTTTTAATTTGTTTCCGCCACTGATAAAGACACAGTCAGTTTCGGCTCTGTTTAGTATTCATTGATCTAGTTCTATAAATAATTAAATAATGTTGATCTACTGGGAGAAATATCATGTCACTCACAATTCGGTTGTCATTCGTCATTTAGGAGTCCTAAATTAAAAATATAACTTGTACACTCCCCGTATTTTCTGGGACATAAACGCTTGTCCAAGATATGTATTCACATTTATGAGTTTTCCATTGCCCCAACCTGATTAAGATACTGATCTATATTTCGTTTCTTTTTTTTATATATATACTTTCGATGACGTTTGACACTATGATGTCAGACATTGATTAACCATTCAGATTTGATGTTTCTAGTGGGTTGCCCACAGTTCCATGCACAACACGCCAAGAACTCACCGTAACAGATCATTGTATTGGCTAATCCCTCACATCAACCAGAACGTGGGTTATATAAAAACTCTTCCAGATCCTAGTGTAGTAAAGACAAGTAAAACAAAATTTTGAACTATAAAAAAAAAAAACGAAATAGGATCTGTGCTTTAATCAGATTGCTAGAGCCCTTGCAAATTACATGTACCCCAGAAAAGATGTTTGAAAAGATACACAATACAGAGAAAAATGCTATATGTTCTAACCTGGGCTGATGATCCTTGATAAGGGGCAACTCGGTCATACGTCACCTGGAGTGCCCAGTTGGCTTCAAAATTCGAAACACCCCCATATTCAGCAATATGCAGACTATATTGTCTCATCTGGAAGCTGTTTATTTCATTGTATACACGGTAATAAATATTACCTCCATATCTTTGATTAATATCACCCCAATAGGGACAGACAAAATTGTTTCGACTACCAATTCTTGGAGTATAACTGTTGTAACGTGTATCAAAACTAATAATACCGTTAGAACCCACCTACAAAAATGAATTTAAAAAGTAAAAACAAGATTTATGTTTCTTGGGGTACAGTTTAGTAGACCTGATTAGTCTATCCACAGAAATGGGTTTTTTTTTAAAATAATATAATAATAAAAAAAATAATATTATAGCCTTGAAGCATGCTAGGAAGATAATAAACAACTATTTTTTGCAGATGGTCAACAGTTCTCTGCCATTGATGTCTAGGAGCGTATAATTTATACGTTTAAAATATGCAAAATGTAAATAAACTTTGCTTGGAGTTCTCTCGTAAGATATCAGCTAGTTGATTTTGCTAACAAATAAATATACCGGTAGTTAGAATCTCATTATAGAATAATATATAATGTATCTATTAATCCCATACTTATATGAAATATGAAATGTCCAAATATGCATCCAGGTAGATTGATCAGATTGCTAACATTTCTATTCTTGTTTCTGTATGTCATACAGAGTTATACTTACATATACTTGTTGGTATCGATTTGATCCAAAAGGAATACCAACTTCAGATTCTATGCTAGGTGATGTAACGTCATCCCCTCGTAACTGTGATTCATCTGTACTAAAACTGAACAATTCTAAAACAAGAAAAGAAATCTCACTCCTTTTTACCTACACAGTTAAAAATAATAAGGTAGTTTACACCATTTCGGGTTGAAACTAGTTGCCACCTAAATAGGGGTAACTCCTAGCCTTTAGTGATGTAAACCGATAACACCCAACTAGTGTAGAACATTACACCAATTCAGGTGGAAACGTTGCCACTTCCAGTTGTGTAACCTGTCTGTTGCACTCAGATAGTGTAATGTTACAGTGTAATTTGTTTTGTTGGACATTCATTTCAAGCCAACGACTTCTAAGTACATAAAACTTGAAATTGGCTATCGCTCTCTATGATAATTAGTATAGCGCATTTAGCCCGACCCAGATTACATATAGACCGTCGGCTACTTTGCTTCATTTTACAACGACATTAAATTGACAAATACCCATGAAACTGACTCAAATTCAACTGCTGTTGGGCAATTAGACAATCTGTATCAATTTACAATGAATATAAATATAATTCTGGAAGAAAAATCAATACACATATCCTTACAACTTAGCTGAATAAAGTGGTTTATTCAATTATGCACCCCACCTGAATTAAAGATTATTAATTAGGATATCGTACTTGGTAATATTTTGGAACAATTACACATCTTTAAGTGTATACAAGCTAAAATAATCTATGCTTTACTCGTTATGAGTAAACACTCTAAAATGAGTTATAGTTGTGTTACAAAAAAAAACCCAAAAACCCCTCAAATTGGAGTAAACAAATACTTTTGTACCGCAAGATATGGTGTAAAATTTACACCTTATTAGGAGGAATATTTCCCTAAAATAATTACAATAAAACGCTTGAAGAGGGGTAGCTCATCCCAAACACCCTTTAGCATCTACAATTACACCTATTCCGGTGTTCATTATTCTTGAATATCGATTACACTTTTGCAACCCAGTAAACGCTGTAAAATTAACGCTTTTCTATGATTTATTCCCCAGTAATAGTTACACCCTTTGGTGTAAATGCAGTATTACACTGGTAGTGGTGTAGCTAATCCACAATTGCACCTATTCAGGTGTTCATTAGTCATGAATATCGGTTACACTTGTTAGATGTAGTTCTTTTCGTTGTTACCCTTGGAAAGGTATTACATTTTAAATACACCAGCTGTGGTGTAAAGTTTACACTTAATTAACACTGCTTATAGGTTTTTTTTACACCCATTTTTAACATTATCTTGCTGATAAGAACACTTTTTAAACAAGAGAAAAGCTACCACTTCAATATACGTCCACATTCCTGCTTTGAAATATGAAATGACTGCAACAACGGTAATATTACAAGAGGCAAAGGGGGCTAGGCATTGGATTTACAAACAAAAAATTAAAACAAAAGTGGGTGTGAAACCGGCCCTGGGGATCGGACATGCACAAAAATCAATAGTTGCCGTCCTTTGGGTATAAGGATTAAATATGTCAAGTTCCAGGATGATCCATTCAGAATTGCAACCCATAGTTGATAAACACAAAAAATAGCGTTGCTGAGTCCCTGCGGGTCGGGCCATGCACCAAGCTGAATAGTTGTCGTCCTAATGATATATAGGAATAAATATGCCAAGTTCCAAGTTGATCCATTCAGAATTATGGCCTCTAGACAATAAACACAAAAAATGGGCATGACTCTGTCGCTTGGGGTTGGACGGACCAATATAAAATTTTGTTACTGAAATGATTGCCATTGGTCATGCTGAATATGAACCTAATCTGTTAATATTTAACACCTGTAGAGAATTTACACACAAAATGTTAACAAAAAGGTGGTCATGGTACCGCCCCTGGGGGTTGGGCATGCACCAAATTCAATAGTTATCGTCATTAGGGTATAAGGAATAAATATAACAAGTTCCAACATGATCCATTAAAAATAGGCGACATACAGACACCCATATACATCAGTGATAAAATCAGTGATAAACTCTTAAATTATTTTCATTTTTCAATTCTTAGAAAAGATGTAAATGAAATGAATCAAATATTTAAAAGAAATGAATCAAACTCACCAAGAGTGTCTTGAACTGTAAAACAAAATGATATTTTGAAAGTTTTAAAAAAACCACTGACAATATTAATATGGTATCAGTAAGGATATAATTCAGGTATTGGTTGTCAGAATAAACTTTGGGTTAAACGTGGTGCATAAAGTAAAGATCCACAGATGATCAGAGAATGACAATGACAAAATTTAACAGACACAAATCTGTTATTCTTGAGTTTCAAATTAATGACCAATTAAATTTTTATCAGATTTATTCAATTCTTCTTATGAATGCACGTTACGGACTGACCATATGAAATAATTATATTTTGGAAACCAATTGTATACCACACATAATCTCTGCGGACGATGGTATTGTCCTTTAAAACTTGTTTTAGTTTTAGTTTTTATACACCCACATTTTCATGTGGACATATTATGCTGTCGCTCCTGTTTGTCCGTCCGTCCGTTCGTCCACAATTTGTTTGTGGACACTGTACAGGTCATAATTTTTATTCGATTTTGACGAAACTTGAAATATAGGTCTATCTCCCAAAGATCTCTGTCCCTTTCGATATTGGCATGTATCAGAGCATAACTTCATGGATTATGGCCACTGAATGTACAAAAAATCACGTTTTTAGCCTGTGGACACTCTAGAGGTCATAATTTTTATCTAATTTTGATGAAACTTGAAATGCATGTTTATAACCCAAAGATCTTGGTTCCTTTCGATATTTGCACATATCGGATCATAACTTCCTGAATTATGGCCCCTGATTGTACGCAAAAACGCGTTTTTAGCTTGTGGTCCCTCTAGAGGTCACAATTATTATCTGATTTAAAAAAACGTTTGAATATATCACCGTTACACACTAATGACGGTTGAGTTTGAATTTTGTGAAAATCGGACCAAAACTGCCGGACAAAATGGCCGCCCCCTGTACGCAAATAGTGTAAAATATGGTTTATCAAGGTTGTGGACCCTCTAGAGATCACAATTTTCATCCGGATTTTGATGAAACTTGGAATGCATGTTTATATCCCAAAGATATTGGTTCCTTTCGATATTCGCGCATATCGGATCGTAACTTCCTGAATTATGGCCCTTGATTTTAATAAAAATCGCACTTTTAACTTGTGGTCCCCCTAGAGGTCACAATTTTTATCCGATTTGAAGTATATAACCGTTACAACTCAATGATTGTTGAGTTCGAATTTCGTGAAAATCGGACCAAAAGTGTCAGACAAAATGGCCACCTGGTGACCCCTTGTACGCAAATAGTGTGAACATCTGGTATATCAAGGTTGTGGATCTCTTGCATGTTTATAACCCAAAGATCTCGGTTCCTTTCAATATTTGCGCATATCGATTCGTAACTTCCTGACTTGATTGTACGAAATATCGCGTTTTGAGCTTGTGGTCTCTATAGATGTTACAATTTTTATCCGATTTTAAAAAAAAAACGTGTGAATATATCACAGTTATACACTAATGATGGTTGAGTTCAAATTTCGTGAAAATCGAACAAAAATTGTACACAAATAGTGTAAAAATATGGAAGGCTTATATCAAGGTTGTGGGCCCTCTAGAGGCCACAGTTTTTATCGGATTTGGATAAAACTTTAAATATATGTTTTTATCATATAGATCTTGGTTCCTTTAGATAATCACACATATCCGAATGTAACTTCTTGGGTTATGGCCCCTGATTGGTCGAAAAATTGCATTTTTAGCTTGTGGATTAGAGGTCACAATTTTTTTCCGATTTTAAAAAACGTTTAGATATATCGCCTTTCCACCATATTGAAGATTGAATTGGAATTTTCAGGAAAATCGAAATGAAACTGCCCGACAAAATGGCCGCTGTTTGTACGCAAATTGTGTATAAGTATGTAATACAAAGGTTATGAACCCTCTAGAGGACACAATTTTTATCCAATTTTGATGAAACTTAAAACATATCTTTAGATTCCAAAAAACTCAGTCTCTTTTGATATTTGCGCATTTCAGACCATAACTTTCTGGATTACGGCCCCTGATGGTACAAAAAATCATTTTTGTTTTTAGCTTGTTCTCTATCTATCTCTTGCAAAATGTGGGCGTATCCTGCCTGGGAACCGCTGGTTAACCATTGACGTAAGTTTGAAATAAAGCAGCTTAGTGTGCCTGAAAACTAATCCATGCAACCAAGGATATCAAAAACAAATTGATTAATCATTTTAATTTGAAGGTACAGGTATGTATGGTTTTGACGCCTTGTTCTTGTTCTTGGTGCCTTTCAAATCAGGTAGGAATGTTTCAAGTTTCATTATAATCATATCACACATGATGACTAAAATAAGTTCACAAGCTATTTTTGGTTCATTTGCATTAAACCAGTACCAAGAAACATATTCTTAAATGAAGATTACCCGCGTTACACGAATATAAAAAAGGTACCAATTTTCATTATAATTTAACTGATTTCTCAAGTAAGTGTTAATGGACAGACAAATAAGGGCGACAACAAGCATTTACACTAATTCTCACATAAAAAAAATGCTGACCAGAACATGTCGTATTGTCACTGTTAAGTGTAAAACCATCATTGCACGAACAAATCACTGACTCTGACTCGTCTGTATTGTTACAAATCTGGTCACATCCTCCATTGTCATTGTTACACACATCTGTAACAATATAAATAAGAATAGTTCAATTACTATATGTCATGTACATACATTACAGAGAAAAGGTGCATCGCAAAATGACTGAACTTTTATTACTTACAGACAAGATTTACTTATATATACATGTTCTTCGCTTTTTCAAGTCGAATATATTTCGATTAGGATCGGATGATACCATAATGTAATCCAGATAATCGAAGGCAGTACTTGAATCGGATTTCCTGGTTTCAAAAGTATTTGCTTAAGATAATTACTACGAAATACATACCACCGCTGCCCAAGTTGTCATCTCTTTTATATCTCAGGTGTATGTTTTCATCTGTAGAATATAGAGATTCCGCTTTCAGTATATCATCCAGTACCCGGTCGTTTGGTAGATAGGTTAGTTTATCTACGTGTGCTGGAGAGTGTTGACTATTATTATAACCCTCAGATACAGATAAAAGTGTTTCTGATTGTAGGAGAAATTCTATGTTTTCGCCCTCTGCTTCATCTTTCATAAAAAAAATATAAAAATTACTCAAATTTGTGATTCACAATATATCCAATGCAACACATTATTTTACTGAGCGGAATCTCTCACCAGTATTGTAGGACGTTAAACCCCATTTCATTTCATTTCTCACCCGTATTCCAGCGCCCGGATTCGAAATGAAGTTAGCACACATATTCCTAGCGCCAATAAAAACCTACATATAATTATCACGAAAATAATTGTTAACTTTTTATTAGAAAATAACATTTCAAGACATATTAATACAAAGTATATATGGGGAAAAAATACTATTACCGTAAACATACTAAAATATCGCACACTAGGCTAACTTAGCACGCAGAAAAGGGGTACATCCACGCTGCATCAAAACGCACCAAAATCGGCTTTGGTGGCAAAATGTTTTGTATTTCACAGAGTCAAGGGATGAATAAACTACTAGAATACAAAAATCCAGAAGCCTCCTATGCTGGCTTTTTGAGATATGCCAAATTTCATTAAGTTTCTATGTTGGCGTATCGAGTTATACTACTGCAAAGTTCCCAGCACCCGAATTCGAGGCGGCGTTCGTGGGTTCAATAAACAAGGGGTAAGCCCAAGCTGCATCAAAAAGCACCCAACCCAGCTTTGGTGACAAAATGATTTTTTCTTTCACGGAATCAAGGGATGAATAAACTATTAGAATACAAAATTTCAGAAGCTTATACCACTGCGCACGCAATAACTTCTAAACTAGCTTTGGTGGCTTCGAAATCTTTATTTCACCAAATCGACAGATACACAAGGCATGAACATGCCAAATTTCATTAACTTTCTATGTTGGCGTAACGAGTTATACCACCGCAAATATCCCAACACCCAGATTCGAGGCGGTGTTCGTGGGTTCAATAAACACGGAGTATGCCCACACTGCATCAAAAAGCACCCAAACCAGTTTTGGTGGCAAAATGTTTTTTAGGTCAAAGAGTCAAGGGATGAATGAACTACTAGACTGCAAAATTTCAGACGTGTCCTATGTTGGCTTTTCGAGATATATTACCGTAAACGTACTAAATATGGAGGGGAATCGGGTTAGGGTAGGCTCACTGCGCACGTCATCCCTTGACTCTATGAAATACAAAACGTTTTGCCACCAAAGCTGGTTTGGGTGCTTTTTGATACAGCTTGGGCTTACTCCTTGTTTATTGAACCCACGAACGCCGCCTCCAATCCGGGTGCTAGTAACTGTGTGGTGGTATAACTCGATACGCCAACATAGAAAGTTAATGAAATTTGTCATGTTCATACCTTATGCATCTGTCTTGGAGCCACCAAAGCTAGTTTAGAAGTAATTGCATGCGCAGTGAGCCGACCTTAACACGATTCCCCCATATTTTTAGCATGTTTACGGTAATATATCTCAAAAAGCTAGCATAGGAGGCTTCTGAATTTTTGTGTATTCTAGTAGTTTAAGCTTATTCATCCCTTGACTCCGTGAAATACAAAACATTTTGCCACCAAAGCTGGTTTCGGTGCGTTTTGATGCAGCGTGAAAGTACTCCTTTTCTCAGTTAGCCTAGTGTTCGATATTTTAGTATGTTTCCGGTAATAGTATATTTTATTTTTTTTTATCTTTTTATTATTATATTTTTTTATTTTTTTTTTTTTTGGGGGGGGGGGGTCTATTACATATATACTTTGCATTAATATGTCTTAAAATGTTATTTTCTAATATAAAGGTAACAATTATTTTCGTGATAATTATATCTAGGTTTTTATTGGCGCTAGGAATATGTGTGCTAACTTCATTTCGAATCCGGGTGCTGGAATACGGGTGAGAGATTCCGCTCGGTGTCAGGAAAATAGTTATATCTCTCAATTACATATTGTACCTGCAGCCACAGAAACAAACGATTGAAATATGAGTAAATTCTTGAGAAGGTTAATCTAAGGATGTATGTTTTGAAAATATTCGATTCAACATTTTGGTCTCAAAAGTATCTAAGTTAATGTGAGAATATAGAACGTTATCTGTCAGCGTAATATTATTGTGCTATTAAAACCGTTAAAATATAACAATTAATTACCGTGTGCTAAAACTGTATTTTGAGTCGTAAGACATATTATCATTATAAGGAGTGCCGAATTGATGGCTGGAGAAACTGAAATAGAACAAAATACATATTTTAAAGTAGCTATACAGTACAACAACCGAGATCGGTGTGGTCTTTTAGCTTGGTCTTTGGTACAATTTTGGATTTTCTGATGCTGTGGATTCAGATTTACTGAGGAATTATGCAAGAGGGAATTACAATAATCAAGTCTCACAAGAGTGTTTACTGTTTGTCCATACACTAATTAAATGTTATTATGTTCATTACATTAGCTGTAGTTTCTCTTCTTTTTGGAGGCTGCCTAAGATTGAATGAATATGATAAACTCCTTGATATTATACTCCATCCATTTGACCTAACATTTCGAATGCTAAATAAAATAACAATTGGGATGCTGGTCAATTCAGAAACAACCGAATGCACCTTACTAAAACTAATAATATTTTGTTTCGGTAGATGTTATGATTATATTTATTTTCAGTCTGGTTGTAGACTTGATACTAAAATAGACCTATTAATATTTTGGTGGATTGGTAATGAAAGTAAGAGCCATAGAATCTTTCTTGTTTATTATTTATGAAGATATGAGTTCTCGGGTATTATACCAGTCCCTATAATATCATATGTCTTCTTATCCATTAAAAAAATCAACTTTCTATTCGAGGGTTTAAAATGGTTAGGATTTAGGCCACATTTAAATAATACTTGATTGAACCTGACCCGAACATTCCCTTTTCGTTTTGTTACGCCGAACATTCCAAGGTCCTCCGATATGTTAATAGGTTTTTACTAAAAATATGATGTGTTCACACAGCTTCACAAAATATTATCTTGAACGGTTTACGAGATATACACAGGAATAATAATAATTATTATTATTTCTCATTATACGTATTACATCATAAAAAAAATCTCAGTGCGTTGTACAAAAATATATAATATGACATGAAAACATATAATATGACATAAAACCATATAAAACATATAATGACATAAAAAAAACCATATAATATGACATAAAAACATATAACATAAAAACATATAATATGACATGAAAAGAAACAGTATACGACATAAAAATGAAAGCAATAGTAGCGTAAGTGAATCATTCAGTGTAGTGATTTTGGAAAAGATGTGTTTAGGGGTGTTTTTTGAAGTAAGTCCATGGAGGAGGCATTGCGAATAGAAAGGGGGAGAGAGTTCCATAATCTAGGGTCAGCATTAGCGATGGCACGCTTGCCTTATTTCACCTGAATGAATGGTCGTGCTGGCCCAATAAGAAGAACTCTATGTGTTAAAAGATTAGACAGATAAGGTGGTGCTAGCTGACTGAGACATTTATAAGTGAAAGTGATAATTTTTAATTCAGTGCGGCTGTGCACAGGTAACCAGTGGCGATCGTGGAGAATTGGGGTGATGTTCTCATTTTTACGGGTGTGTGTTATGAGTCGTGTAGTAGAGTTTTGGGTAGACATCATGCAAAAGACTATTACAGTAATGAAGGCGTGAGGTGATATCATTCAGTAGAGGTGCGATCTAAAACGTTGCGAAAACGACCAATTTGATGCAGCGCGAAAAACCGCTGACTGGCATACTTTAGTGACGTGACTAGATAAAAGACCATTTTCATCAAAATAAAAACATAAATTACCGACATCTGAACATTTATCACTACATCTATACTTAGAATGAAAATGTATAACTTCAGTTTTACCATCATTAAGTACAAGTTTCTTACCAAGCATCCACGCACGAATATCATCAACATATTTTTCAATTGCAACCTTTAAAATTTGAGTATCATCAGCGTATAACATAAAATCCAAACCGTGACTAAGTATAATATCCTCTAAAGGAGTACAGTAAAGTGTGAACAACTGCGGACCTAAGACACTGCCCTGTGGTACATCGAATTCAAGAGGAGGATATGTTGATTTGTGACCATTTACGACAACACTCTTGGTTCTATCACGCAAGTACGATTCCACCCACTGTAAGGCCAAGCCTTTGATACCAAACCGTTCCAGAAGTATCTCCAATAGAATGCAATGATCAATGGTATCAAAAGCAGCTGACAGATCTAACAATACCAGAATAACTTCCGAATGGCCATCTAGGGCTAGCATGATATCGTTATGTACTTTAAGTAAAGTAGACTCGGTGATGTGGTGATTGGAATTTTGAATATAGAGAAACCTCACTGAGATGATTATCAAGAGCACTAGCTATACATTTTTCAATGAGTTTAACACCAAAGAGGCAGTTCGAAACTGGTACTTTCTATAGCCGGATTGGAATTTCGAATATAAAGAAACCTCACTCAGATGATTATCAAGAGCACTAGCTATACATTTTTCAATGAGTTTACCACCAAAAGGGCAGTTCAAAACTCGACGATAATTTTCCAGTACAGTAGAATCTAAACCTGACTTTTTCAGTAGTGGCTGGACAAGGATATGCTTAAATTCGCAAGGAAACTGACCGTTATCAAATGACGTGTGGATGATCTGCGAGGAAGAAAATTATGAATACACAATATCGGCATAGTTTTTGTCGTTTAGAGGTGAATTTAATGTGTCGAGTCGACTTATTAAGTCGATTTTTTGTAATATAACTCATGAAGTTGACATATTTTAGTTCGATGTGTTGCGATATTATCTCAATAAGTAGTGACCCAAATACGCTTCCATAGCAAAATTGTCTTATCAGAGATAAAATCTTCATAACAATTACAATATGTTAACATATTACCAACTTAATATTGCGGTATTTATCGCGCTATTGACCCCTATACGCCTCCATGCCTAACAACCACCATAATGAAGATCTACTCAGAAAGAAATGTCAACACTGGTTTGTTTGTCAGTAAACATCAAAACCTTCAAAATTATTCCACGATTTCTACCCGAAAAGCCGACGGATGGGAATTATGTAACAAACCAAATCGCGCTATACGTGGATATAGAGGGGATCTGTCCCTGCTTTCCTATTGGCAATTTATTTTCCTTTTTTGGTTGGGGGGGGGGGGGTGTCTCTCAGATTAATAACCGAAATTGCCATATTGCTATAGTTAGCTTTCCGCTTTATGGGTTCTCTTCCGGCGTGGTTTCCTCTTGTCGGTGATGCAGGATGGAGGGCCTGACAAGGACAGCTGTCTAGTCGTTCGGATGGGACGGAAAACCGAGGTCACGTGTACACATTGGCGTGCACATAAAAGATCCCTTGGCAGTTGGAATTCGATATAAGAATAGGCCGTAGCGCCGCTGCCCGGGCAAAATTTCCCTCACAACACACTGTATGGCGTATGCCCGTCTTATTAGCCCAGAGGAGCAGAACAGTAGGACGTTAAACTCCATTTCATTTCATTTATGGGTTGTCATAATACTACACGTTCCCACGATTATAAATCAGACTCGAGGCCTACTCTGACAAGTTGAAAAATTTTAAATATAACTATTATTTTTAAGAATGTTTTGGATATCGCTTCGCCCAGCTGGTCGTCATTGTTTATAAACAATAGATGTGCAATTTTTGTACAACTGAGTTTCATTTATATAAACTATCATAAGGTGCATTGAGCATATTAATAATTAATAATCATTAAAACGTAATAAAAGTTTGCATTTTACCCAGTTTCAAATAGCTAAAAGAAATTTATTTTGTTCGTTCTGCACGACTGTCTTTCATTTCTTTCATCTCTTTCTCGGAAATATTGCACCAAATTGCCCGGGGGTTTTATTTATCTAAAAATCACTACCTTTTTTTAAAAAAAGTCCCCAAATATGTTGTCCTCGATTCGCTTCATGGATAATTATGGATAATTGAAATTTTAATAAAGCCGCGTAATACCGACACTGGTAAGGTATATGGAAGCATGTCATTTATTATATAAAAACGTGAAAAGTATATTTGCATAGACCAAGCTTCAAGAACTCCTAACATATCTTTATCGAAAATGTTGTATGCACATATGAAACTGAAGCAAAGAATGTAACAAACTCTTTTAAGAGCGTTGAATATGATAAAATGCCCATTTTAAAGCTAGCACTGTAAGATATGATATGACATATTTTGTTATTTTGGGTGATAAAACACGTATCAATCACCAAGAAAATAACATTTTTTTACCAACTGTTCAGAAAATGGAAGAAAACTTAATTTAGAGTGATCCTGTATTTGTAGGTGTTTTTTTTTTCAATTCGGTCTAGATTTGTCAAGACAAATAATTCCTGGTAATCTCACCAATTGATAAGCATCTTGTGGCGAGGAGATTAAGGTTGTTGATTAGGTAATCAAGTTTAGTTTGTGATCATCATGGACGCCGGCGCACGATCATAATATTAATCAGATTGGTGTACAATTGGCTAAAGTATTTATAATATATACGGGGATCACGTGGCTAAGTGAGTAAGACGCTGGCTCGCTAGCCTAGAGGTCGGGTGTTCGATTCCTGCATTGGCCGAGAAAGTTCATCCAGATTTTCCGGCGTGATTCCCCCTTGTCAGTGATACAGGACGGAGGGCCTGACAAGGCGGCTGTCTAGTTGTTCGGATGGGACGAAAAACCGAGGTCCCGTGTACACATTGGCGTGCACTAAAAGATCCTTTGACAGTTGGAATTCGATATAAGAGTAGGCCGTAGTGCCGCTGTCCGGGCAAAATTGCCCTCATAGCACACTGTATGGCATATGCCCAGTTCGGAGCAGAACAGTAGGACGTTAAACCCCATTTCATTTCATTTCATTTATAATATATACTGGCTTTAAGTACAAACGATTTTGATATGACCATTTTATCTGCTCTTAAACCATAGTGTTTTAGATAATAAATCAGACGAATAAAACGCAAATAACGAGAAGACAAACCAAATGTGGAGTGAAATTAATAAAAGCAATATAAATTTTGGGACAGTATGCTAATTTTAGGAAGACTTTTAATTTGTAACAGTCCTCTATATTTGCTCGGGGCAATTACGACGACCATATCCTAACTCTGTATCATTAACTGACAAGCATAACTGGCTATATAATCCAGATATCCCTTGCAATG